TGAGCTCCTATGTTAACCTGGCAGCTGCATACATACATACATACTACATACTAAATATATGATAAAAATAATTAATTCATTACTTCTAAAATTTCACTACTACTACACTACTACTAAAAAAAAAAAAGAAATTGTCATTCAGATACAGGCTGACATTGGCAATGGCTGCCCATGCATTTCAGTTCTTAAAAAATGTAGCATGGCACACCAACATAATGTTCCGATAAGGGCATGATGCAAATTTCCTGCTTTTTGGAAATTTTGCTCAAAAGTCTGCTCTTTGAACCCACAGCTAAGCCTTTCCAAGGTGTACGCAATCTGTAAAAGTCCAATCAGACAAAAGCATTTCTCATTAATTGTTATTCAAATTATTTGCTCTCAAGATGTTTACTGGGAGAAAAACACTCATCTCCATGGTGATAACAAATGTATTACACCCAGTGACATAACAATTAATGCACCCTTGATTTGCCTTTAAATGCCGAGGTCCGTGTCCCCAGAAGGATGTCTGTAATAAGTCTTGCCAGGTTCAATTCTAACATGTTTTCAACTGAAAGACAGCAATGACTTAAGTAAAATAAAGTCGATGACCTCTGATGTGTTAACTATGAATGTTTGTGGCTCTGCCCATGGAAACGCAAAAAACAACATCTTTCTCTTTTTCACTGCGTGTTCTCTAAGGTTCAGCTGGTGGAACCAAGAGCCCAGCCCACCTGGGAACAGCTGAATGACTGGCAAGGAGCTCCCGTCTTACACAAAACTAAGGGGCTGAATACACTTAAGTACTGAGCACCAAAAGATGGTTTCAAGTCTACTTAAATACAGTAGCTCATGTGTTGGGTCGGTTTCATAAACATAAAGAAATGACTACTGATTCTAGTTCAGTGGTGCCTTAGATTTTAACCGATTTGTCCTATATATATTAAAATGCACCAAGTTATTTGGTATTAAGAGTTCTTTTTAGAGACTGGCTCTTGGGCTTGAAGTCTTAGTTTTTCCATCATTTCATCAAATGAAACTTAACTAATTAAACTGAATTGAATGAATTCTACAAATTCTCCTGAAAAGGCTCAAAATTTACTGAACTTGAAGGCAGCTATGTGAACAGCATTTTGGGAGAAAAGGAGGAGGAAGATTAACTACAAGGGCTAGCTCCTCGATTTCTAATTTTTAATATCAGTTCTGTAACATCTCAAAAATGGCCTTATCAACTTTTAAAACAAGGAAATCTGCAGACTGTCACTCATCCCAAACCCTCTTCATCTCAAGGATATCATAATGCTAATAACCATACTAATGTCATTATTGCCTAATACATTATTAATAAAGACAATACTTCTTCATAAGTTAATCAGGCTTTTTGTCAGATAGGACCTCAGGTAATTGATATCCCCTAAAATATATATTGCTGAACATATTTCAAGTTGTGCATAAAAAAATGTTTGGTAAACTTACTGATAATCCCATGATTTGTGAAAGCATACCTACCTTTTGCTATTATCTTAGGAACCTCTGCAGCCATGAAGAAAAGTGGACTAGCACCAGAGAAAAAGACACTGATCAAAGTATTTGCTGGCTTACATATCACTGAACCTGATGGGAGACCTACTGCACTATGTGCTGACAGGATTCTCAATGCTGAATACCACAACCTTCAACAGACTTCCCTAGGCTGGGGGCTTCTATTTTACAAAAGTGCTTAGCAATAGAGGTAGAAAGAACCAAGCACTGCCTGAAGAGTGACCTATCAAATAACAGTAATCTATTATTTGGTTAAAAAGCTCATATTTTCTCGGTCCTGTTATATACACAGGTTCTATGCAAGCAGGTGTATAGGTTTTAATTTGATTTCCTTACACCTGAGTGCACACAAAAGCTGCTTACAAGTTGCGTTTGCTGTACCATGCACATGGCCAATGAACGTTTGCATGCATGTGTTGTACCCATTCATTTTATGTACAACAATGGTGAAAAATGGACCAGATGAGGCAGATGAATTCTGCTGAACATACCACTCTTGGTCCCTTTCACTTTGCTGTGTTTCTGAACATAAAAGTCTTTGAAAGCAGGAATAATACCCCATAACTGGGTTTTTCGCTGGTCTTAGTCAAGGCTGCCCGCAAAGGTCTGCCCTATTGGGCCCCTTAAATTCTTCCGTCACAATACACGGGGCCATTCTGACGTCAGTCATCTCATCTGGTACATGTAAGAATGTCACATCATGCAACTGGCAGCAACATCAGGGAACATAACCGACATTATCCCTGCTTCAATAACGGATCGTATTAACAATTTCGGGTGTACCGTTTCAAATTTATTAGTATTTAATTTAACTCTAACATGGGCGTGTGAAATGTTCAGACAGCATGTCTAACTTCACATAGCTGTTTACATCTTCTTTTTCTTCTTGAATTTTTCCCACAACTTTTCTTGAATTAAAGTATAATCAAACTTTTATAAATTATAATCATAAAAGCAGTTTACCTGGTAGATGGAACTGTTACTAGATCTGACATCAGTTCACCTCGTCAGTTTGCAACATGATGTTTTCGATAGACCAAAGTGTAGGGAGCAATAAAAAGGTGTTATGTATTGTTGCTCATAAAAAGCAAAGTGGTAAAAAATTTGTAAAATTCAGTTTGAATGACTTCTCACCTCTTTCGACTGAGAATGATATGTTTTCATTGTGTCAAAAACCAGCCCTGCTTTTGCCATAAAAGTTTCTTTTTTATCCTTTAACAAATGTTAACTATATCCATTGAAATAAACAGATTAAAATCCTTCTCAATATTCTAAAATGCTCAGAAACAGAATTAAATGTTTTAAAGTTAATGTAAGAAGAAACCATATGCAATTACAACCAAAAACATCAAGAAATGGTATATACCCCTTATCCCCCTTCTCCATTCACCACCTCCAAACTTTGGTCTACTTTTAAAAAACACACCCAGTTATAATATGTAGTAGTGAATTCTCACAATGCAAGTACAGAACAAAGATCAATTGCAAATTCTCCCCATCTTCCTTCTCATGCTAAAATCCAACTTCCAGCAGGACACACACAGCAAATTGCACCCATCCTATTCTGATTGTTGAAGGCAATCCCCATTAATTTGCATCTTATCTGATCCAATATTAGTGTCATCTCCGTCAACTATTTATTGAGGAGAACCAGTAGCAAGCTACAGCAACATGAAACCATATCCCAAGTAAAGAATTATGTCCTGAATGTCTTCTAACTTGCAGTTTACAACATGAAACAAAATAATTACCATCTCTTACTCCAAACTTCGGTAAAATTTTAAATCATATAGAAACATACATAATTTTAAAAGAATAAAACCGAGTAACAGAGGTCCAATATGGATGAAGAGAGAAGCCCTTTAAAACATTTGAACTGCTAGTTAGTTATCAGTAAAAAACATGCCTCTCCTGTCAAACATGCAACTTTTCCTTCTGGCAGCGTCCAAGGTTCTGTCTAGACTTGAGAAATCACACCACAATCATACAGTTTGAATGAAAATATCTTATGTGAATCAGTGCAATAGTTACCCCAAACTTAACCAGGTGTTGAGAGACACTTGCTCCTTCCAGATCCCTTAAGCTGTTGATTTAATCATGGTCAATTCCACCTCAACTACTTGTCTAGACTTGACTAATGAGGAAGAAATGGGCAACGAACCACACTATCTATCCCTTTTACACCAAACCCCATTAGTGTAAAATATAACACGTATGTTCATTCTCAGTTACAATGACAAGTAAAAAAAAAATTGGTAAGTTTCTTATAAAACAATAAGGTCCATAGGAGTATATGACGGTTTACACCCCTTTCTTGTATTCACTGATTATTCACCATTTTTGACATGTCCTCAGAGGACCTCAGGTTTAGTCACTCCTTCATCTCCCCCCCCCCCCCCAAAAAAAAACCCCATGCCTTCGGTACCTGCATGCTGTAACTTTTCAAGCTGTATTTAAGCTAGACCTTCATTAAAGATGCTGTCCGACTCAGTTACAGCTGATGCTGTACTGATTATTTCAAGGCAATTATCATTAGTATTAAAACAGTGCACAAGACGCCCCGTTAACACCTACGGAGGCACCAGGGTAGAATAAGAGTTGTTCAGAAAGAGTAATAATTTTTTACTTCATAATTACATCAGTTTTGATCAAATCACTTGGCACTTCTTTATTAACCCATACAGAGTTGACATTTCCCATGACCCTGCTCTTTTACAAACTGACCCCCAGTTTCTTTTAATTAACTCTTTTTCATAATTCCTAACAAACCATTCAAATTCAGTCAGCCCTGTGAACTTGCACAGTCTTGTTAGGCCAACAAGAGAGCCATGGGCCAGTTTTCTAAATTAATTTTAGAAAAAAAAAAAAAAACACAATAATTCATTCAAGTGAACAACTACTGATTTATCTTTGATCTAAGTCAACTAACATTTTGGTCTAAAACTTAAGACCAACTTTTGATTCACAGTTCTTTAGTGGCACAAGTCCCAATGGGGAGATGGATACATCAGCTGAATGAAAATGGCAGTTATTTCACTGCACATGCCATCTGATTCCCACACACACACACACACAGTCTTTTCCAACTTCAACCAATTTACTCCTCCAAACATCATTTCTAATTCCCCAAATTTTTGCTTCATTTTTTTTCACTCTTTTCACTTTTTATAAACAAATTCTCTTAGAAATGAAAACATGGAAGTCACACCTCAAGGTGGAATAGTCTGACCTGAGCTTTCACTTCTCAGTTGGACCTGAGCATAATTGTTCAATCCTGTCAGTGCAGTAAGGTGAAATTCCCAAGTAAAATTTGAGAAACTCTTCCGGTCTGGTTATATTTGAGAAATTAAGGTGACATTTTCTTTCTTCCCCCAACCATTTTTTCACATTAAATTGTTGTTGTATAAAGCCAATTTACCATTTCCTGAATGACATTTCATACACAATTTTTTAATCAAAAATGCGATTATTTTACCTACCTCTTTTTGGCAGTTTAATATTTGAAAATTTCCTTGGTGCCACATCTTCAACCTGCCAATAATAATAAAAAAAAAAGAAATGTAAAGATCAACAAAATATCAGCCGCATGCTCATAACACAAGTTTTGGTTGAATTTAAATATAAGGCAACAACATAAAAGTCCAATGATTTGCTAAGTATGTCATTTAAAAGATCCTGGTAAACAGAACAGGCAGAGGACAAACATTCGAAACGTGCTGCTTTGTTTCAGTGAAACATTCATTATGATTGCCAATTCTACAGAGCTGAGCTTTATTTTCAAGGCCGCTTTTCTGGTTTCAAAAAAATATTAATGTTTAGTGACAGTAAATCAACTGAAGGGCATGGCAAAAATTTGGAAGTACTAATACATTGTACATGTAACAATTTCAGCCACCTGGCAAGCCATACATATCATGTCATGCATGCTGTCAGGCATTATAACATCCTAAGAAAATGAACTTTCGGACTCATTTTCTTAAACCTCAGAAATAATATATATCTTTTTGGACTTGTGATGTAAAAAACATCTTTGCATACCATAGTACAAGTGCATGAGAACTATACATATTAAGGATTTGAGTCAACAAACTTGATTTCAAAGCTTCTGTTTAGTCTTTCCTTTTTTTTCTCCTTTTATTCAGGTTTCAAGCAGAGAGAAAAAAAGTGCTAACTGTTATAGAATGTTTCCTCATTCCAGTCTCTTTTACTGGGGGTGCAAAAAACATTGTCACTCAGTGCACCTTTGTCTGTATACAAAATACAAGGAAAAGCCAGCTGTTAGTTGAGAGTGCATTCTTTTCATTCAATTTACATCTTTTATCACTCCAAAAAACTTGAAAGTCCACAGTTGTGGACACAGAGACACATCCTCTACCTCAATCAATCTCAATGAAATCAAAATTGCAAATCGCCATGTTAAGTGGTAGGCTTTGTACAATCTTTACTTTGTTTCATCATTTCACTTTTGAAACAACATGCCTTCAATTTCAAGGTCAACTAAATTAATTGAGTCTCCCATAGCCATGTGTAAAAGGCTTTAATGGAGACTGACTTGCCGACTTATGTAAAGATTTGAGGTGATAAAATCTTGTGTTGAAAATAGATTCATAACTCACCAAAATCTTATCAGCAACTGAAAGGGTTTATTTCTATGACTTGGATCATTTCTGCATGAGTGCTGGTTGTAGTAAAAGTTGGAGCATTTCAGTAATCTGGTCTGCGGTTTTTCATTCAATCCTGTAAAAGTGAGAGAGCAAGAAAGGGAGAATTATAATGGTTATTTTTAGGGAACCATCTACAATAGTTACACTAACATTTCCAAATTCACACCTGGTTAGCCAGAGTTTGCGTTGGATTACTTGACTGGCTGCTTTGGTTTCTACAACCACGTTACTCTATTGTACAACTATAGTGCTCAAACCGCGAGCAATACAATGCCTTCTGAACAAGTTCTCGATCCCGTTCTTGCAACTTTCTTTAGTCAGCCCTTGCAGTTGTTTTATCTAACCTAGCCATAACAGGCATGAACTCGCGTGAAAAGGTTTTCAGACCAGATAGGCAGCACAGCTATAGTATTCATAAAGTGAAAGGTTATTCCGTGACAAACAGTGAATGAAAATGGCTATACAGACTGGTCTTTGTGACAAACACGCTCATAACAGTGGATGCAAAAATTACTTCTAGTAGAGAGCAGTAATCTTAATTTATTTTGCATTACATAAAGGACTATTAACCACAGTGAAACCTTATCTATACTTCATATATATCACCATATAGTCATTGCATCTTTTCTTCAAAGTCATAACTTCAAATTAAACTTTCCCTTAACTTTCAAGCTATTCAAAATATCTTCATCAAAAATACCACAAGACCAAGTCATCGAACTAATTTCAACTTGAACACTTCAATTTATCATGCCAAAGACTAAATGAAAAAAAAAGAGTACAAACAAAATACTTTGTCTTCGAAGTTGCATAAAAAAAAAAGAAGGGGGGGGGGGTATCACAAAAATTCTACATTATTTTTAGGTGTAAGTCATACCCATGATGTAAACAATTGTATTTGGTGGTATCTGTAGACAGACGAGATGAATAAGATCCAACCTTGCATTTACTTCTTAAGCATGCACAATGTTAATTGTCCCCAAGCATAAGCCATGGACCAAGTTTCACAAACAAAAGTTGAGTTAAAAGTTGGTTTTAATATATACAAGAAAATTTTAGTCAATTTCAGCCCCAAATAAATGACCAATATTTCACTTAAATGGGGATATTGGGCCTATTTTACATAATGTAAGAAAATGATAATGCATAAGACCAATAGCCTCTGTATCTTTCTGAACTACAACAAATTCATCCTGATTCGAAATAGGTGTAAATTTTCTTACCTAGAGTTAAGACCAACTTTAAACAGAGTTATTTTGTCAACCCCCCCTGGAGTCTGTACGTCAGGGACACAGGGGAGAGAGAATTAACTCTTCAATCACATATCTGACACCCTGCACCCAACTTTTCAAAAATGTCATTTAAATGTGTGACAAGAAGCTGAGAATTCAATTTCAAGCTTATCTTGAAGTAAGATCAATTACTTTTTCTCGGGTGAACAGCACCCAACTGGCAAGTACCCGGTGCACTGAATATATTTCAGTACTTTTGAAACAATTAGTTAAAAAACATAAATAAATGAAAAAATAAACATAAAGAGTTAATTTTGATAACCAAAAATGCAATTAACTTGTATAAGTTAAACAATATCAGATTTCACATATGACCACACCTGACAGATTTCATGTTCAGACTTGTCCCGTTTTGAGAAGCACATAAATTTTAATACGAAAAAAAAAAAACAAATAAATCAATGAATTAAAAATAAATCAACTTCAAAATATTACTGCAAGATGAGGTATACCTGAGCAACTGAAACTTCCCAAAGGCAGACCCCAATTCACAGACCTTGGAACAGCTCTGGTCTACAAGACTGATGACTGGTGTCCCCCACACACGCTAATGGAAGGTGACCAGCTTGTTGTGGTAAAATGAATGATCTAAAGAATAATAAAAGGATAAAATGAATAACTATTTCCATTTGAAAATGGTTTTGTGTTCAGTGCTTTGGCTTCCATTGAGGGCCCAGCGGCCAATGACGCTACCTAATCAGTTGCCAGTTTAAAGCTGAATGCTACCATAACATTCCACATAAAAACATTAATTTGGATTTAATGTAAACCTCATACAGACCAGCACAAGCTGTCTTAATTTTTTTTACTCTAGTCTTATTCAACCATGTTGGTATCCATTTCTATTTAATCTTGCCGTAAACCTTCAGGTACAAAAAACACAATCAGGCTTACAAATTCTTTACAATTTCCAATTCTGCCAGGCTTTAGATTCGTTTCGGCAATCAAAGACCGTGTCATAACCCCAAGCCTTCCACCCCCTTCAATATTTCAAAGAGCCACAGGCAAGCTCGTGATCAAGAATATGATACCAAATATGCCGGCATAATATTTTCCTACCAAAATGAAAACAATACCTTGAACATGAAATAAACATCCTTTATTACAGCATTCTTAAGGCTAGGGACCTGTTACATGTGGACGTGTTTAGATAAGAAATTGTATTATTTTACATATAATCACCAAGCATGAAAATTTGAACCTGGTCAAACTTGCTGGGGGCCCCACATCGATGTTTGCTTATCAAATGTACTCGAGAAAGCTGTGATGACATGGAGCGAAGGGGACCCCATGTTCCAAATTTTCTCATGTACTCCATGTTGATTTTTTCCCTTCATTCAACACTTGCGACATTAAAGACTTTCTTTGTCACATAATGTTCCTGAGGGGTTTGTTGGATCATACTGATTTGTTAATAAAGATAAGAGGCTTCTATGACAAATGACTGCGTTTTTTATGTTAATTATACCATCTTACCGGCTGTCAAGAAAATAGCTGCCAAATTTTAGCCCCTTTTAAATACTTGGAAATTCAATTCTCAGCTCTCTCAAGGTGTTTATCTGTTACAGAATTGCAACATACATTGGCAATGACTCACAATCAGAGACTTTCATTTTCTTAGTTTCAGTAAAAACACAAGTGAGAATATACTTTCTTACTTCAGTATATCAAACTAACTTCTGTTTTGATCCAATCAGAAGAATGGCACTAATTAAAACAAAAACTACTGTAAGTCTATGCAAAATCTACTCACTTTTATTTTGATAAAATGTTGATGTTTCAAATGGGAACAGAAATTTGAACTTAATCCGACACAGATAAAATGTGCCATGCTTGAACAGGCCTATGCACCAATTACAATATTTGTAAATGTATCTTCAATATAACAGTACCTGGTTAAATAATGGAGTAGTTTCATTGAATCATGGAAAACAAAGAGAGATCAACAAACTGAAATTGTCTCGATTCGGAAAGACAAACTAACATCAAACATTATCAAGATATTAGTGAAAGATGAACAATTCATGCAACAGAGTTGGAGAACGAGAATTCAGAACTTACCACAGTGACTAAGCCTTCAGCAACTGCAGTAACTACAGTGAATAACTATGGTAAAATTGAGCAGCGAACCTTATGATGTTTTCACTTCAAGACGGCTTGTTTTCTGTCACTTAACATTTAACTTTCACAATTTAACGAACTATTTTTACAAATGGTTGCATGTTTCTACAGCTCTTTAATTAACTTGTCATAGCCCAATAATAGACTATGGGAATAAAAATGAATACTTGGTTTTTTCTTATTCTGTCATTCAACTGAAAACTATGAACAAAACACTGACTTAGTGCAGTTTAACTTTGGAAGCCTTTTTGTCATATTTCTCATAAATTGCCAAAGCAAAAAAATAAAAAAAAAAAATCTACAAGATATTCTTCCTCTTTCCAACAACACACAATATTATATTTTTGTCATTTTTCTACAGCATTTATGAAAACACACAATCTTGCACTGAGTGATTTTTTTTTTTTTTTTTTGGTTGCTGTTACTTATAAAATGGGGGTATTATAAAATTACTTAGCCCACATTGTTACTCACCCTTGCAATATGATCATGTTACTGGCATCGATATGCTTTTACATCTTTCTTTTTCTGTACTTCTTTATAAATGGTCTCTGTCTATTAACTCTGAAGAGTAACATTTTCTGTCAAAAACAAGACTAATGTCAAGTATGATTTCTGCTGCAATATTTTCTCCAATTGCGTAACTTTATGTGTCCTGTATTCCAAAATATGATTGAAAAGATAAAACAAATTTCCTCTTAAAGCTTTATATCTGATCAAAACTGTTCCAAAACTCTTTTTTTTAATGTAACTTTCTTAATATATATCGTCTCAAACTATGATGCAATGTTCCTCAACTCAAACCTCATTCTGTGAAAAATTTACACTAAAACCCTTTAAATATCAAAATTCAGTTTTTTTTTTTTTTTTTTTTTTTTTGCTTTAATATCTTCTCTATCATAAGGAAACTTAAAACTAATGCAAGGAGTGATTTAACTTAGTTTGAGATGTACATGTATTTATATAATTTTACTGAAATGAGTGCGAATTACAGAATTTGAAAGTAGAAATTTTTACAAGTTCTTCAGGGCTTTTTTATTACTGTGACATTTTTCTACCAACTTCATTACAAACTATATTCTAAATAGATCAAGAATTTTATGTTCTAATTCTTTTTGTTTTTCTGAATCCCAAACTGAATCTTGCTATCATTTTGTCGACCCTGTGTATCTCTTTTTCAAGAAAACGGAAGAATTTCAGAACATCTCCAAAGATGGTTTTGCTACTGATGTATTGACAGATCTTAATTCATATATTTCCAACTTTATCAACAGCAAACAGTGTGCAACTTCGAAGTCCCCACATCAATCATCATTACTCCTCCACATCCCTATTATGTATACCCTTCAATGTTACTCCCAAGTGATCAAATGTTTAACTTGTCCCTCAAAAAACAATGAAGCAGGAGTAATGTTATGGGGGAGAATCACTGTGGAAGAGTATTGATGCCAGTAATATGATAATAGTGCAAGGGAGATTCACAATGTGGGCTACATAAATAGAAAGTTACATACCATCTACTTCCCTCCATCGTTCTTCCCCAGTAGTAACAAGTGTGACATGTAAAACATTCTTAATTTACTGTAAACCTAAGACCCAAGTCTCAAAAATTCAAAATGCTGGCTATGAAACCAGTAAAGAAGAGAAAACAAGAGAGGCAGAGGAAAAGGTTCATGGCGGCTAAAAAAGAGGATATACAGGAGATAGGACTAGAGGACAAAATGCAGGAACGATGTACCAGTACTAGGTAGAAGCTAATATCCATTGTGAAGGAACAAAGCCGAAAGTCAATGAAGAATAGTCACTCAGAAACTGATGAGAGGGATTAACAACACAGGAAACTATCACTTTGGAGGAGTTAAAAGATGCGTGGATGCAGATAATATCATACTTCGACATCGTGTACTGTGTGGTTTTGCTCCCAGTTTTAGCGCAATATCAACAATTATATTTTGAGGGTTAAAGGTGAATGTATAAATTTTATAACAAAAGTGCTAGAGAGAGAAAACTTAATCCACTTTAAGATGTATTCCAGCATTTTAAGTATGTCAAGCGTGCCGTATACTGTTGCAGCCTAAGGTATTGAGAAGTACTCTGTTAAGCAAGTCGATAATAATTTTAAAACTACGCCAATGATTTTAAAATAAATGCAGAAGTCTGTTTCATACATCTGTCTAAGTTTTCCATCAATGTTTCAGGACAATGATGGATATGCACCTTAACATTACCGGTGCAAGGGCACCTGGTTTGTAAGCCATACACAATTAATACAGTATATCTATACCGGTATGAGCAAAATATTTTCAGCTTTTGTTCGACTTGCCTGATAACACACAACTCATTACTCATCAAACATGCTACCATGTGTATGCATGTCTTGCAATGTATATAACATCCCATACTTCGAATCCATTCAACTTAAGAAAAGCTTGAACTAAGACAAACTTTTCGATCAATTTCACTTTCCCCCAGAGTCCACGTGGTTGCAGACACAAGACAACGATTCCACCCGGCTATTTAGCGATCTACATAATTTCGAGATCAAAAAATGACAAATACACAACAGATTATCAACAAACAAGCATACGCCCACCAAGGCATATTCACTTTGATTGGAACAGCCTTAATTAACGGCAAATAATTCACCTTGTTTGTCTTTCCCGCTAGCCACGAGCAGGAAGCAGCATGGAAAAATGCATCCCATAATTCCCAAGTGTCAATAACAAGCAATCTTCTCTAACGCAATTTTAACTAGGTCTGCTGCCTTCCAAACTTTAGCTAAGGGCGATTGTGAGGAGTTCACTGTTGTTTGAGTTCGTTGTTTTTCACCGGTTTTTAAATGGATTTTTAAAGAAACAAAACAAAACAAAAAATGCGCTGAATTATAATTACACCTTTATTCATAGAAAGAAATATCTATACTACAAGCTCATGGTTTATTCTACTAATAATTTATTCAAATCAACACTGAAACGTGACGTATACAGTACATAGGCAGAGTTTGCACCTAGAGCTCACATTTGTACCAAACACTCCCTATTTATGTGAACAGGTTTTTAAAAGATGATAAAAAAGAATACGATTTACAAACACGGCATGGTGGACATGCACACAACTAGTCTAGAATAAAACATAAGAAGACATAGCTAAGGTTAAACTCCATAATTTAATTTATATATGAATTAGTCTTGCTTGAAATGGATTTCATTTTTATCACTAAGGAAGCCATAAATAGATAATAATGATAAATAGTAAAAATGAATGACTTAAAAATACCTGTTGTGTATAACTCTTATCATCAATTCATTTCTTTATATTCTTCTGTTTTATACTTTTCAGGGTACAAGAGCTAGTATTTTATGAATTCTCTAACATAATTGTATATATTTCTGGTAATTCAGCTTCATAAAACAACAGAGGCTATGAACTCAATAAATAAATATAAAATCACACAAAAGTGTTAATATTTTAAAGTAAAAACAGACTCTTGAGTAAAGCAAAAAATATAACTTAAAAAAAGAATGTTACTGTAAAATATAACCAAAAAGTCCATTGCCTCCTGCCCAGAAGTAACAAATATCAATAAAACTGAAGCTGCAACAACAATTTGTGCTTTGAAAATAATCATGAGATCTTAAATTTGACAATAAAACATAAAGCGAAAAAAAAAATCCCTTTCCATATATAAATTGACAAAGCTATCCTTAGAATATGTTATGAAATGTGTTTTTCAGAGTAAAAAGCACATTTCAGACAACTCGAATCCACTTGTGCTGCTTTTTCAATTAAACAATTTCATGACACATTTTCCCTATATACATTTCCATACAAGCAATGCTTTGTGAAACATTTAAATATATTGCACTTTATTTACCTGTATTTTCCTATCATTAAAGCTTAACATTTATAGTTTAATGGCACACAATTGGAACAAATTAAAGTACATAATACATATGTTGGCACATATTTTACAGTGACAGTCATCATTTAATAAATATCTGGGTGCTCCATTTTATCTTTAACACAACACTGATAAAAAGCATGTTACAAAAACTACCTTTGACATAATTACTGCCAAGCCAAAAACAATTAATTTAAAATAAGCTGACTTAGAGCTTTTTGCACATTGATAATCATCTAAATTTGGATAATATAAAAAACAATTTCTCTTAAATCTATTAACCATACATTACAAACATTGTATTAACCTCCATATGTAAGCTACACATACCTTACATCTTGTATGCAAACGACTGCAACAATAAAGAGCTGTGAGCTATAAATATGAATGAGTAATACTAGTCTCTTCTTCTTGGCTAAAATTGTCTATTGCATGTAATATGACTAAATATTCACTGTTATTTATGATTAGAAGACATTCATTCTCCAAACACATTTAAATCTCAATAAATTTCATGTTAGTGAATACTTGCCTAATGACATTTATAAGCAAGAGCTATAATAAATTCAAAGAAACTGCTACCTGGTAGCAGTGATTAAAAAGTATAGAAATCCCCATGAAGATACATGAAAATGTCAAAGAGGGTGTACTTTTCCACCATCTTCACGTTGACCAGTCCAACATTGAGATTCATCCTACAAATCAACCACTCAGCATCCATTTCTTCCACTAGTTCCAAGAAATCACTCTCTTCAAAACTCAGGAAACTGTCATATTCTTCATAGTGATCACACAGGGCTCGCACATACCTAAAATTATAGCACAATGAAATTATTTAATTACTGTCTTTGTCTGCATTAGTGTTCACCTAATAAAACATACGATCTATGTGATTTCTTAAATATGCCTACGAAGATATTACATGCCTAAAGTGCCAGGAATAATATTACAAAAGAAATTTATATCACTAAGTGGTGAGAACTATCAATTCAATTCACGAGATGCATTTGCTTATTATTAAATTACCACTTTCATCTTTTCATTTAGAAAGACAACTGTATTCTGTTTTCTGACATTTACATGTGATTCTACTCTTTTTACAGTATTACTAAGTACTCCTTTATATTTAAAATTAAACAGTGCAAAATATTTTAATTCTAAAAATGAGATATAGAATGCTGAACAACTGCAAGCCACTGCTTCAAAATAACTGCAATGTTCGGATTAAAGAGCTTAATAACTCAAAAAACAATTTAAACAGAATTTTCATTGAGTACTGCTGGCATACCAAGATTCATAACATGTAAGGGGTCATCTGCATATGGTCAAAACAACAGCATGGTCACAGGCCTAACAAATAAACAAATAACAGAACACATTCAGGTAAAAAACAGTAACGTCAAAAATAACAAAATTTACTCAATTTAGTGTAATGTCAACTAAATTACAAAAAATAAATAACACCAAGCTTATTTTATCTACCTGAATAATTTGTGAAAATTTAAACAACACAAACCAAAGAGCACAAAAGGAAAATCAGCAGGCCACACACTAAGAAAATAAAAAAATCAACACCATTAGGAGAGTTATCACACATAAAAAACATCTAAAAAACACTAAAACCTAGTGCATATTGTAGCTACCTTACTTCTTGTTCATCAATTTCTGCCATGAGGTTTTCTGCATTCTTTTTTCTCCTCCCAGAATTCTCAAAGCCACTAGAGCCAGATGACAGGGAACTATCAAGATAAGCATATTCCTCACAGGTCTCTGGATCAGTTTCAGTTTCTGCATTGAGGTTATAACTACTTGCTCCCTGTGCTGAATGGTAAATGGAATCACTACCTGAGCTAAATCTCTCAGAGCTGTAAGATTTATCAACTTGCTTTCTCCTCTCTATCATCGGCATGATTCCTGGCACTGACACACCCTTCTTAAGTACGAACTGCTGTTCTACCTCCTTTGAATCAAGAGCAACATTTACTTGTGTTTCACTCTGAGTCCTCCTTCTTGCAAGAAGTGAGTCTTTTGACTTGGGGCTTTTTTCATTAGCAAATACCTTGTCAAAAGCTCGAATCAATCCTGAGCCAAATTTATTCCAACTGAATCTGGATTTGGCTGGGCTGACCTCTTTGCTAGAATCATCAGCAGATATTTCAGGGTACCTGGTGGGATATTCATTTGCTGCGGATTGTGATGAGACACTTTGGGATTTATGGTGACTTTTTCCTGATTCTGCGCATGCAAATGGCAGTTTACATGTTTGGGGAGTCTCTGGAGATTCTGAACTGGTGGTGTTGACTATTGTTTCACTGCTATCCCCTTCCTCATCCCCATAGCCATCATCAACATCCACACCATCATCTACATCATCGTTTTTACCTTCTTCGTTAATATTAGCTACAGTATTCTCAGACACACCTCTCTCAACATTGTTGTTGTTATTATTGCAGTTGTTCTGAACCACGTTCCCCTGGTTGTCAAAGCTGTATTCTGTGATGCCCTTCTTGTATGCAGCTTTCTGCGTGACTGAAGATATTTTCCTAGAAATCCTACGCAGAAACCCTACTTTGTTCTCTTCTGTGGCACACTTCTCTTCATATTCCTTTGTAACAATCTCATTGTTGTCAATAATCTTCTGAACTTGCTTTGCTTTATTTCTCAGGCTATTTCTATTTTCCATTTTATTGGACACATTATCTCTCTTGGGAGAGGAAGCTATTGATTTTTCCGATGAGAGAGAATCATAATTCCTCGGCGCCCCTGATGCTTGATGACTAATGGATCCTGTCTGAGCTTCATTATGTCCTGGGGTCTCTATATCGGACTTATCATTTCTGTCCCGCAAACCTGAAGATTGCTCTGATCCCACTCGAAGACTACCTTCAAGTGACACCTTTTGTGAATTCTCTGTGAGCTCTCTTTTGCCCTCTGCCAAGTTTCTTTTTGGACTATTTGAAACACGTGGAAAATTATCAGAGTTGTGCCGTGTCATTCCTTTGTCTTTGTTAGCTTTTTTACTGCCAAGGAACCCACCAAATGAATTAGTCATAAGGGTTCTAAACCACCCTGGCCTCTGTCGCTCTACACTGCTTGCATAAGAACTATCTAAACCCTGTGGTAAACTGGAATATTCGCTCTGACTCTCCTGTGATTCCGTGCTAGTGGAAAGAGACCTTCTAAATTCCTGATGCACTCGACGCCTTCTGTCAAGCGGATTATCTGGATAACTGTGTGGTCTGTTCTTTTTCGGACTTGACGTCCCTGTTGCTCTTTTAGGCGAGCCACTGGGCATTATCACTTCCTTAGGAGTTTTAATCTCTGGAAGATCATCATGCTTTTCTGCATAAACAGCAGTGTATTCCAAGTGAAAAGGCAAAGAACTGAGTGGCTTGACAGCAGTGATCACATCTTGAAAATTTTGCTGCTCGGAGGAAAGACTGAGAAACAGAAAGGCATCCTTTAAGTAGTGCTTGACAATCCCTTTCTCCTGGCCCTGTAGATGTTTCAGCCAGTAGCCTAGAGCCCTGAGACTGCAAAGAAGAGAATAATGATGTTAAATATGAAAAAAAATATATCACCTTGGTAAAATTACATGTTACATGTTCTAAATGTTAAAATAAGACCATTATTAAGTTCAGTTTAGCCTAAGGAATTTAATGATATTATGCATTCTTTTACATCATCTTGGTAAATTTATATATAAATAATTAAAATCAATTAGAATCAATTAAAATCCTATAAAATCAAGTAAATTTTCTGGTATGTATACCATGTGACAGTGTGTACTTCTTATAATACAAAAAAAACTGTGTTCACTGTGTATATATATATATATTAGAGATTGAAGACTTACTTGAGTAGGCCAAAGATAAAAGCATCCAACTTCGTCTGTGTTGTTGACAAATATGTCAAAGTCTCAAGTCTCTGAACAAGCTCATGCAAAGCTTTAGTTGAAGGACCTGGAAAAGAAGAAGGCATAATGTAAAATTAACTCAAACTTCATCTTGCCAGTGTAGAAGTGTTGGTCCATAACTGAACTTGTCCGTAGCAAAAGCAGCTAGGTGATACAGCTTAATAACAAATTAACCTTATTCCAGTCTATTAGGTTGGGCACTGGTCTAGACAACCAACAAGAAGACTTGGAATTGGACTTGTAAAAAGTTACTTGTAAGATTGGACTAATGGAAATATTCTTCCATTGTTTTAGATTAATTGACCAATATCCATAGTCTATAGATCATTTATTTTTGTGCAGACAGTAACATAATGCAAAAGCAGGAGAAAGACCATTACATTAAACTAGTAAAAAGTTACTATAGTAAGATTGGACAAATGGACATCTTCTTTCATTATTCTAGATTAATTATCCATTATCCATAATCTTTATATCATTCACCTATGTGCAGACAGTTACTCAGTGCAATAAGCAGTAGAAAGGACCATTACCCAGTTCAGTAGAAGCCTCCACCACCCTCCACTCACTGTTTTTCACCTTTCCAAACAGACTGAGGAGTTCAGGTTTGAGGCCATCACTGAGGATGTGCTGAATGGCCCTACAGAGGTGATCCTGGACCAGGTGGCCCACCGCCGGGGTATCCTCAGTGCTCAAGAGTTGGAGCTGAAATGAGGATTTAATGGAAATAATATGGAAATCATCCCAGATAGTCCAAACACAGAGTTGTACCTGAAATGAGGATTTAATGGAAATAATATGGAAATCATTCCAGATAGCCCTGTCTTACAATTTGGCATAAAATCGAGCAAGATTTTGAAGGATTTGGAGAGTGGGGTCAGAAATAATGGCAGTGAGGTATATGGGAAGGCAACAAATAACAGCAGACAGAATTTATCCACAGTTATTTTTCTAGTGTTTTTTTCTTAAGTTTGGTAGAATTACAGTGATCTGCACAACAAGTTGTATTCACTATATTTTGCATGTCACTATTGTATTGCTTTCTAACGTGACATTCCTGGCGCAAACAATTTCACCCTTACTGCTATAAGGTATGCCCTAACTAACACAGTTTCTTGCACGCTTCTAGTCTCATATGACACCTGGTGTTGACAACCTTACTTTAGGCTATGTCAGACGATTTCCATTCTGAGGCATGCCACCTCGTCGCCATATGTGCATGCTTATCAAGCAGGCGTATATGTAGACATGAAAATGAAGCTGATAGCCTGCGTCATCATTTCTTAACCTCGGGCTACTATTTACATGATTTTTTTAATCTATGTATCTTGTCATGATAACAAATGCTCTTTTCGAGTGAAAAAATTTTTTAATAAAATATGTACTATCTGGAACTTTTACTTTACCATTCTTTATATTTTTAGCTAAACTATATTATATGTACTTTTATAAATTCTCTCATTTAAATAATTTTGACTTGTGACTATACTGCAGTTAGAAGAAGTCAAGAAAAAAGAGTTATGTTTAAGTTTTGAATTTTGGAGAAAAAAGTATAACTTCAATATTTTTTTCTGGGCTTTTCATCTATTTGACCTACAAACTCCCAAATTCTGTATGAAAACACATACAAAAAATTATGAATTCTTCTAATTTTTTCATCAAATGACTTTAGCCTGTTTATCTGTTGAAGAAGTATGAAGCATTCTGTCAAAATATTTCAAGGATTAAATCCAAAAATAACCAGAACACTATACTTGTTTATGTCAAAATCTGTTTAGAAACTGCTACAAAATACAGAAAAGCACAAAAAATCAATAGTCCTTTGAGTGAACCCTCTCATTAGTTATGTCCCAGCGGAGATAGATAATTCCACCAAACATCAGATGCATTCTCTTTGTTACGGTTAAAATAGGCAGATGAGGCAGACGATGGGTGAAATATCAATACGGTTTGTTTTTCTTTGAACATGTAACCCACCTTCTGCACGGGATCCTTGGCCCTCGAGAAGTGCTGCAGGATCACATCCCTCGCCTTAATTACCTCCATTACAAGACCTGTAAAATTATGACAGAGAGGGATTTATCAATTAATTTCATAATACCTTCATTTAACAAAATATATAAATTTCAAAATCAAAAATATATTTCATTCCATGTAATATCTAATCTCACTCTAGGAGATGTATTTGAAATGCTCTATTGTAAATTGTCTGATCATTCCTAAATTTCTTAATATAAGTTAAGATTGCATCAACTATAAAGATGATATAAATTTTACTTAAAAAAGCTTATTCAATGATACAAAAGACAATCCTATTCACTTTTCAGTTACTGGTGAACTACACCGACTCAAATTAGTCGAAATTAGACAGACTTTTTGATCAGTTTTATTGATCTACGTACAGCTGACACGAATGCCCGAAACCATTTTAGAGAAGGTAAAACCAATTATTACAGGCAGAATACGAAACAAGAGAATGAGGAGGCTTTTCCAGTTGCTGATTTCCACTGGGGATTAATCAAATATCTACCTGATTATCATATAAGAGACAACCACAAGATCAGTGTCATTAATATATTTAACTTTAATGATGAGGATCCTGCATTTTTTTCAGCATAGAATTAAGGAATCTATTATGACAAGTAAAACTATTTTACAAAAAATAGAATTTTAATAAAAAGTGTAAAACCAACAAAAGCAAACTGATTAATAAAAAAAACCTTGTTTCTAATTAGTTACTTCATGTTTGTTTTAATTTCTTATCACAGGATGTTCTGAACCTCTTTATGTATCATTTATGACAATCATAGAAGTGAACTCATGTTGTCAAATTGGTCCAACATCAAATCGATATCCCATAGTCAGACAGTGAACACCAGGGATTTGACAATTAAATGAAAAGTGCCCAAGCAGAGAGCATTACAAATGACTGACTAAGTTACAGGTAATACTTAAAGTGCTCTATCCTGACCCAATAATGGGGTTTAAACCTGGGTAAATGGTGGTAGAGAATTATCAGAGCATGTCAGTCGATCAATTGACAACACATTTTTCTTTCTCTCATTCCACCTGCCTACTCATTCATCCATCTTTTCATTTATTTTTTGTGTCATGAACATAAAAGCCACAAAGCCATGATGTACTTTAATTAGACATGTAATACGTTATACCACATTATCTCCTAAAACCACTAAGCTAACATAGAAAAGTCAAGATCCACCTTCATCTAAAGAGGTTGTTTTGTATAGAGATGTGAAGGACACTCCGTGATAAACAAATACATAAACTGAATCTTTTTCACTGGCAATTATAAGTGGTTTAATTGCAGCAGCACTCTATAAGATGATTGACTTTCTGAACAGTTAAATAACATAGCAATATTTAAATCAAATATAATACACACGTGCATGCACGCACATGCACACACTTACTTCTCTTGCTGCTGACTAAAGGAAGAGCAGGTGGGCTCTCAGCACATGGAGAAATCCTGAATTCCCCCGGGGGTCCAGCATCGCTGTCTGAATCACTGCAAAAATGACCCTCTTTCTCTCCCTCAGAAACTGGTTCAGTGCTATGAACTGAACTCGATGGCGATTCGAAAGTTGGAGATGGAAGAAAGTCACAGGGGGGTGGGGAGTCAGAGTCGGAATCACTAGCTGGGGAAACGGATCTCTGCTCCTGAGGAGGTTTGGCATCTACAAAGTGGAAAATGAAACATAAATGGAAGAATGTTTATCAAGAATTTATGCTAAAATACATATCTTATCATACTGCTTGATAAATTGGTAAATTGATTAAAAATCTAATAAGCAATGACTGACTTAGCAACTGAGCAACAGAAAGAAAAAACATAATGAAATAAAATGTGATCTTTAGAGTAGGGCTATCTTCTTAACAATATGGTCTAATTGTTATTGAAAAACCCATTTATTGTTGTTGTTGTTGTTGTTGTAGTAGTAGTAGTTGTTGTTGTAGTAGTAGTAGTAGTAGTAGTAGTAGTAGCAGTAGTAGTAGTACAAGTAGTAGTAGTAGTACAAGTAGCAGTAGTAGTAGCACTAATGGTGGTGGTGAAAGTAGTTTTAGTGAAAGGATTGTGTGAAAATAAAACTCTTAGTAAAGACATTTCTACCTGGCAATTGAACAAGGATATTTTTTCCACATTGTGAAACTATACACACATATATATATATTACTACACTCTTAGGTAAGGGAGTACGTACCCTCTATTTTTGTCACTTGAGGAGGAGGAGGTAGAACATCTTTGGCCAAGGGATGCTCAATTGCCAGCTTCAATCTGTTCTGCCTTTTAGGTGAATGGAGAGGGCTCTCAAATGGAGTAGGTGCTGGTGATGGAGATGGTGATGGTGAATGAAAGTCCACCTCATTAGCAAAACTGACTGTCTTCTTCACCTTGGAGGTCATTTCTTGTCCATCCTCAACAAGATTACTACAAACTGGACACTGGGATTTTGGCCTGATAGCTGTACAGTCAGAATGTGACTTGGGTAAAGTTGTATCATTTGACTGCGGAATGCACACACACTTTGCTGCAGCTGAGAGTTGCAACGTATTCAGACTTTCGGCACCCATTGCACCTTCTTCGCTGTCTCCAGAGAAATTGCTTGCCACTTGCCCTGAATCAATCAATGACCCTGGAGTTGACCTCACATCAAAAGAAGTACTCTTTTTGTAAGTATAAGTGAAGTTCAAGCCTTCAGTTCCCTGGAGGCATACATTGCACTTACAATCTGTTCCTCTACAAACTCTGGGGCCCTCTGACAAATTAGTATATGGTATGGTGGAGTAACCGTAAGGGTCAGATAAGGATCGTTTTCTCTTCTCTAACAAAGCTTTCTTTCTTAAACATGACCTTAGAGGTTTTTTAGGTGCTATACGGCCTCTGCCTGCAGCTGAAACTTTTGAAAGTTGTTCCTCAGATTTGGAAAAAGTCTGAGTCCCCAATTTTCTATTTTCTGGCAGGATATCTTCCGGAAATATTCTTGGACTTCTCTGGGAATAGTCTGAGCCAGATTCTACACCTGAGGAAGAGCTAGAACTAAGACTTGGAACTTCTCCCTCCAATATGTGTGGACTGATTTGTAAAACTTGGTTCTTTTTTGTGCTTTTCTCAGCCACAGATGGAAGAGCAAGGGGGGAAACCGACTTACTTTTACTATTGGCTTCAGTGTTTTCAGATGTACCTGAAGTGACCTTGGCTGACAGCTCAGTTTTACTGGCAGGCAAGTTCTGGGTTAATATGCAAGAAGCAGAGCCCTTTGTTTTCATATCAAACATTCTCCCAGCAGCACTTTTCCTTGGAATGAGTGCATATACTTTCCCAGTCTTTTCATCAACAGTTACCTTTGGTGCACAATAAAAAGTTTTCTGTTCAGAGCTGAATGAGAATCTGAACATGGCAGATATACTACTGGCAGACGACTTACTGAGAAAACTAACATCTGGCAATGATCTGTTGGCAAAGAATAAGCTCCTGTCAAGTTTACGATTCTGTTCCAATTCAGCACTTGTTTGCACTGTTGTGTCAATAAGAAATACGCCTTTGCTTTCCTTATTTTCTATTGAAGTTTGCTGTGAATGATCTATGTGGTCAGTGTGAAGAGAAACCATCAAGTGGGCAGAGGTCTGGACAGAAGTATCCATGACATTTGGTGGGAATTGCATTCCAAAGCTTCTCTTGGCAGGTGACATCTGCACTTGGGCCATCTGGTGAATTTTGCACCAACAGTCATGAACTGGGCTGGTCTGCATTGAAGTAACTCTAAGGGATTTGAGCATGGCTGGCATATCACCAGGGCCTTGTAATTCATCCCCTTTGCCTTTAGGAAGGTAGCATAGTTGTGGAACTGGTGGTATCTCGTTAAAATGATGAAAGTCGTATGATGAGCACAAATGAGAGCCATGAAAATCTTCACTGAAATTATAACTTTCAGAGTTTGACCTCATCCTCTGAAATATTTCAATGAGGGTTCCTGAGAACCTTTTTCTTTCATCTTTGTCGTGTTCAGCTTGTCTCCTTTTAACTTCCTGTCCTTCCTCTTTTAAGCCAGAATTTTCTTCACCCTTTTTTGCAACCATAGATGACTTTGGAGCAGTTGGATAAGTGTGCTTTGCCAAATCTGGCATGCTCCTACTCTTGCTCCAGTCACTGATCTGTCTCATTTTCTTGGCGTGTTGAATCTCCTGCAGATGTTTCCATGACGTTAATCCTGCTCGCAGGTACCCTGACTCTTTGGCCAACCTCTGCTGTGCCCAGGTTGTGAATCCTGGTTTGGTGGTGCTTTGGGAATTGCCACTAGATGGCGTGGAGTTGGCACCTCTGAAAGTACAGGTATGATTGCTGTTGCCGCTTCCTGGGGAGGTCTTGTCAGAGATAGGCGAATTGAAGTGCTTTACAGTCTCCACCCCTTTTTCATCAAAGACCTTGGCCCTTTCCGCCCATGTTGTCAGGTGTTGACTGGCATCACTGGTGTCAGCGTCTTGGTAGCTGTCATGGAGTTGTTTAGTGGGACTACATGACCCTCCATCAGCAAATGTTAGCATATAGTTTTGCCTAGTGCTATAGGGATCACAGTTTATCACATCTCTCAGGCTACTAGCATTACTACCCGTGGTTGCACTTCCGGAAGACACATGTGCTATTCCAGTAGACTCTTTGGAAGGGGAAAACAAGGGCGAGTAGCCTAAATCTGAAAACTCACCAGAACTAGAAACATAGGAAGGGTACTCTAGGTGTGCTTCATCATCATATGGGGATTCTTCTCCTCCATGCATGTTAGCACTCTCTTTAGGTGGGTGAGGGGGGAAATCCAACATTTCATCCGACTGCATAAGATCCTTGCAAGAAAAGAAATGCTCCTTCTCAAAGTCTGATATGGAGAATGTGTCTGAGGCAGCCGTGGCCTCGTGAGGTAGTAAAAACATGTGTTCATAAGGAAGGTTAGAGATGTCATACTCATCGTACTCATTGCAGTGCATTTCAGAGGGCTGCTGCTCCTGGTGGCCATGCTCGCTCATCCGATCTACTGTTTGGAGTAATTCTTCACACAGGTACGGAGAGGAGTAGTCAAATTCTCCAGAGATGAACAACATTTTTGGATTTTCAGAACTTGATGTTGAGTCCAGGCCAGCAGCGACATTGCTACTCCCAACGGACAGTAAAGAGCTGCAAGCTGTGCTGGTCCTGGATAGGTCATAATCACTATCGTAATGGCATCTTTCTGCCTTCACCTTCATCTTGCTGGCTTGACCTAACGGTCGAACTTGGCTACGTGACAATACATCTGACAGTGAAGAGCAAAGATGAAGCTCATCAGAGTTGAGCATCCCCATATCAATGTCAGCCAAATTGGTGTTGAATCCTGTGGCAAATTCATCATCGTAAAAAAATTCCAAATCATCACTTAATCCATCTTGGGATTTACAGTCAGATGGGACAGTCTGATCAGAGCTTTTGTCACTAGAACTTGCCTCTGAAAACTTTGCTACAGAAACTCTATCCGAAACTGGGGCCGAATGTTCAGCTTCAGTAGATGGCAGCTGCTTTGAGTGATCATTTAAACATTGCCCGTTATCTGCCCAAGCATGAGGAATTGATATACAAGCAAATTTTGAATGCAAGTCAGTGGTTATGGTATCAATTACATGATCTGCTTGGCTGACTGTGTTCCGATAACTATGGAGAAACTGCCACGACCTGGTGACCATCCATTCTGACTGAGTACTACACGTAGACTGACAGTCTGTACTTTGAGATATGCTATCACTCACACTGTCATTATCCTCTTCAAGATGATCATCCGCTCCTATATTTGCTTCAGTGCTTTGATTTTCCACTTCCCCCCTATCGACATCACTGTTGTCATCATCATCATGGTAGGAGCCTGCTATATAGTCTAGTGCAATAGTCTGTAGTTGATCAAAATGTCTGGTATTCTCTACGTTGAAATCAATTTCACCTGAAGTAAAATTGTTCGATGTGCAATGTACAGTCCCTTCATCTACTCCAACAACTCCATTGAATTGGCTGTGGTCTTCCTCTAATATTTGGCACCAGTTTTCTACCTGCATATAATAACTGCCAGGTGGGTCATTTGATTGAATATCTTGCTTTGGCACTTCATCATCTCCAGAATATGTGATATCCCCATGGTTTCTGAAGCAGCTGGCCTCACTGTGCTGGTCTGAATATCTATATTGGCCCTGGGTTTTGGTACCACATTCATCAATATGTTCCCTCTCCCATTCTGTTGCTGCTGTTGCCGCAGGCTTCCCGTCTTCAGACAACGTAATCTGATAGAGAGTTTTCCTGGAGCTTTGGTCAATACTGCTTTCATTAGGCTCATTTTCTACTTGAGAAAACATTGGCATATCCCCTGCATTATTGCTCCTGCTGTTATTTTCAATTCTGTAATCTGACGAGAAGCCGTTGGCATAATTGCCTTTGCCATCAGAGACCACACAAATTCCAATTTCCTTTTTGCTGTCAGACTCAATGCCTTTTTGAGACTCATTTTTAATGGCTTTATTCTCATGGTTTTCAAACTCACTGACACCGCTTGTATGGACCTCACCATCTGCTGTGTCAAATTTTCTATTATGCAAATCTCCATTGCTGTCAGGAACAGAAACCAGAGGAGGCAATGACAAGGACGTGCTCTCGTTTCCTGTGAGACTTTGATCATTTTCAGTGCCACTGGTCGTAGGTAACTGACCGTGTAATGGGGCACCATCACATGCAACAGTTAAGGTGTTATTCCACCTGTTCCCTTTATGGTCACAAGGGTTTTCAGGATTTGTTATGCCATTTACATTATAAACCCTGAGCTCATCACTGGATGATTGACTCCCATCCTCTTCAGCCCAGCCATTGCTGTATGGCTCACTGAAACCATTGAGCTGAACTTCCATGTGGCCATTACAAATTGTCTCACTGTGCCCATTACATTGTGCCGTACTGTTCAAGTCTAAGGAAGTTTCCTCATACTTCAGTAGATTCTGTGGATGTCTCTTTTGAGCATATCTCTTCTTCCCACCAGATGGCTTGATTCTTGATTGTTCCTCCTGAAAAAAATTAATGATATTCAAATCATACTTTTGTTATAGTATCCACCCCCTTTTGATCCCAAAATAAAAGTACTCAATTTTCAACACCATGTCACATAAATTGCAAATACTTTCACAAAATAAACTACCTTATCATTTCCTAACAACATATTACATTTTCTCCCCCAGGAATGAGGATAATTAACCTGCATTATTATTATTATTTCGTCTTATCAAAACATGGATGTGATCACTTGCCACACAAATATTGATTCCTCTGGTGAAAAAAAGGGCAATTTCCCTGGAATAGAATCTAACTAGAACTTGTTTCAACCCAGAAGGAAGTAACACAGATCGAGTTACAATAAAAATCCATCAATTTCTTGCAGGCATCTAAACACTAATAAGTTGGACAGTAAGCTTATATACTTGCCATAAAAACTTATAGAAACCTGAACAGAATTCATAAATGTGCACTCAGGCTTCTTCCTATACAAGTAGAGGCACCTTACTGTACTACAAAGACAACTACATTTATTGTGGGCAAATCAATCATAAAATGCTTAAGGGCCAATATCACAAAATTAACTAATTATATCACCAGATATAACTGACTCAAGTAGTTTAAGTGCTCGTTTCCAATGAAACTATCAGTCTTCCTAGATCAATCCAACTCCATGGGGACTCTTGCTGAATACAATCAGCTTTTCTGTATTCTACTGGATACAAGGAGTAGGTGTGTTTATCTTTTAATCAGATTGCATTCAGCAAGAGTTGGATTGATCTACACGGACCGATAATTTTACTGGCAAAGAGCCCTTAGCTGGGCCTAAAACTTTTCTGTACAACTGGCGCCAGATGCCAGACCAAAATGGTCCATTAAGCACAGATATGAACAGTGAATAATCAAACTCATGATTGCTATGACAAAGGCATTTCTTCATATCAGCAAAAAAGCATGATTGATACAGATGAATCACCAATGTTTAGAAGCTGCTCCTTTTCCTCCATAATTTTACATAGGGAATCAATGAAATGTTGGTCTGAACATCCAAGACCAGAAAATTAGTCCCATGTCCAGGAGGATGCAGTCTACTTAAAAGTCTTAAACCTTGGCCAATCCATAATTACCTTTTAATATTTGCAATATAAAAACATTTTGCACAGAACAACTTAAATTTGAGTTTAATTTTGTTCAATCTTAAATGTACAAGGAAACAAAATTAATGCAATTGATTACTTCTCATTTTACAGTCTATTTCACTCACTCTAGTATTACATTTAAGTTAAACTTAATAAACAATTACTAGTACTTTAAATCATTTTAGGACAAAAAACCACAGTTCTGATTTGCTTAACTCTCTTGAATAAACCAGTATTAGCATTAACAAATTATTTGCATGTAAGTGTGAGATTATTTCTCCATATATCAATTCATAGTAACATATTTTCATTTTGACTCTCAGTAGACACATAGATTTTTTCATTCAACCTCATTTATTATCCAGATAAACACAGATTATATGAATTTAGACATTTATGAGATACCATGGGCAATCTTACAGCATTTTTCCGTGTTGTGAAATACAAAGTACATTATAATGCCACATCCTCACCCCACATGAATTTTTTTTACATAGAGTTCGTAACTTCCCTCCATATATATATACATACATATATATATTAATAATAATTTATTGAGCATTAAAATGTGTACAGTTACATTTTACAAGCTCTCTAAACTACAGTTTTACATAAATTGAGCACATACGCTTAAAATTATTACTACAAATCACTACAATTATTATTATTATTATTATTATTATTATTATTTAGCAATTTCTTAATGAAATTCTAAGTAGGTATGCCACAATGTGTCCATGTCCCTCTGCTACCAGGGTGAAATAAAATGCATTTCCATACCTGCAGCAAGGAGATTTTATCCATGAAACAAAATACACATGGGGTTTTAAACTGTATTAGAGGCAGATGGTTGTTTAATTCCAAGATGAAACACTGTATCGTGAGAATGCACTATCCAAACAAATGGAATCAAATAGTCTTGTCAAGTCCTTTTGGGAATTTGTTCTAGAATAATCTCATTTTAATTGATTAAGTGATAAAGAAGAACCATAAAACATAATACGTGCAACTTGTAAAATCAATTCTGAACATTTCTCAATTACTAGTACATCATCATATATTAACCATAATTCAAATGATATCTTTATTGGAAACTGGTACAATACACTGACTGCATTTTTGTATATACCGTAAAATGTCATTGGTAAGTTTATCTAGGATAGTGGGTTTATAATCTTGTAGTTATCATGTCTAACCCACTTGAATGCCAGTTGAGATCATATAATCATTCACCATAGTAGGCAAGTAGTCTCAAAGCTTTATGGATGATAAGATCTATTTTGAAACATGTCATCTCACTTTTTAAACAAAATTTATCATATGACATCCAAAGACTTTTGGTAATGTTTTCTCTTTGTGTTTACAACACATTTTAACCTCTGGTCAATTTCAGCACTTTTTAAAGATTTCCAATACAGAACTACCCTTACAGACCCAAAGGCCCCTAATATGCTGCCACTATACCATTATCTAGTTTGAAAAATGTCGTTTTACCAGAATCTCCCCAGTATGTACATTTGGTCACCCAAACCAATGCTTGTCATTTCCACTTGAGGAAATTGCCATTATCTTAGCACTGTAGTTCTCCTACTGCTCGGCAGTCACACGGCAAACATCAATACTTTCTGCATAAGTAGGAAGAGAAATCAATAATGGCAATGACGAAGGAGAGGAAAATAGCACTCCCTCAATCCAAGCGCTATGCTGATATAATATATCATTTTATCGCCATAACTAAGGATGGAGACTAATAAGTGGGCTAGTAGCAATTTCAAATGCTCAACTATGGAATATTGTTTATTATGCCCTATTATCACCTCCTGCTCAATATCTTTTAATATCATGACCTTTCAATAAAATCTATTAAATACAAGAACATTAATCATCAGACCATTAACCTGCTATATGAACATGGTGGGTTAAACTACTGATGGGGTGCTACTAGCATTTGCATAATACATGATGGATTTTTTCTCTGGCCCAGCCACAAAAATCATCACTATTACTCACGTAGCACATTGTTTTAAATGCCTATGTATGTAACAAGGTGTAATGCAAAAAGTGGTGGGTAATCTACCTCCGTTAGGCATTAGCAATAATGTATTTAAACATCTAACAGTTTTCAGGAGAAATGTTTCTTGACTAAGCATTATCTATTTTCCATTGGTCGGTTTCACAAAAGAACATTAGCTCCAAAATTGGTCATAACTTTTGGACAAAAATTGTTCTACTTTCGTTCAAGATAAATCCATAGTACTCCACTTCAATAACATAGATATAGGGCTGAAACAAAACAGACAAAGGATTTCATTATTTTGGACTAATACCAATATATTTTGGGTCAAAGTAGTTTAAAATTTTGGTCTGAAAGTTTAAAACAAAGTTTCTTTTTGAAAGAAGTTCAAGGGTTGGTTAAGTGGAAAATCTTTAGTCCAAAGTTTGACTCAACTTTGAGTAAAAAAAAAAATGTCAAATTTAATTCAAGATAAAGACATAACAGCCCTCTAAAATCAAGTTAATACTGGTATAAAACATGAATCATTTCTTTCTTTTTGTAAATAATGTGCAATATTTCATTTAAGTGGACTATTACAAATTTCCATTGATCAGTCAAACCAAAATTTTTGGTCTTAGAGTTGAGACCCACCTTCTGTCTTGAAGCCTTATGTGGAAGTGTTCACGCATGTTTCACAAATCAATGTTCCTAGTGGTGAGGAAGCTTGTTCATGGATAACCTGTATTCAGATAAATTCACTTTGCTTCTTGTGCAGTTGTCATGATAAAANCTCCCTGGGGAGGTCTTGTCAGAGATAGGCGAATTGAAGTGCTTTACAGTCTCCACCCCTTTTTCATCAAAGACCTTGGCCCTTTCTGCCCATGTTGTCAGGTGTTGACTGGCATCACTGGTGTCAGCGTCTTGGTAGCTATCATGGAGTTGTTTAGTGGGACTACATGACCCTCCATCAGCAAACGTTAGCATATAGTTTTGCCTAGTGCTATAGGGATCACAGTTTATCACATCTCTCAGGCTACTAGCATTACTACCCGTGGTTGCACTTCCGGAAGACACGTGTGCTATTCCAGTAGACTCTTTGGAAGGGGAAAACAAGGGCGAGTAGCCTAAATCTGAAAACTCGCCAGAACTAGAAACATAGGAAGGGTACTCTAGGTGTGCTTCATCATCATACGGGGATTCTTCTCCTCCATGCATGTTAGCTCTCTCTTTTGGAGGGTGAGGGGGGAAATCCAACATTTCATCCGACTGCATAAGATCCTTGCAAGAAAAGAAATGCTCCTTCTCAAAGTCTGATATGGAAAATGTGTCTGAGGCAGCCGTGGCCTCGTGAGGTAGTAAAAACATGTGTTCATAAGGAAGGTTAGAGATGTCATACTCATCATACTCATTACAGTGCATTTCAGAGGGCTGCTGCTCCTGGTGGCCATGCTCGCTCAGCCGATCTACTGTTTGGAGTAATTCTTCACACAGGTACGGAGAGGAGTAGTCAAATTCTCCAGAGATGAACAACATTTTTGGGTTTTCAGAACTCGATGTTGAGTCCAGGCCAGCAGCGACATTGCTACTCCCAACGGAAAGTAAAGAGCTGCAAGCTGTGCTGGTCCTGGATAGGTCATAATCACTATCGTAATGGCATCTCTCTGCCTTCACCTTCATCTTGCTGGCTTGACCTAACGGTCGAACTTGGCTACGTGACAATACATCTGACAGTGAAGAGCAAAGTTGAAGCTCATCAGAGTTGAGCATCCCCATATCAATGTCAGCCAAATTGGTGTTGAATCCCGTGGCAAATTCATCATCGTAAAAAAATTCCAAATCATCGCTTAATCCATCTTGGGATTTACAGTCAGATGGGACAGTCTGATCAGAGCTTTTGTCACTAGAACTAGCCTCAGAAAACTTTGCTACAGAAACTTTCTCCGAAACTGGAGCCGATTGTTCAGCTTCGGTAGATGGCAGCTGCTTTGAGTGATCACTTAAACATTGCCCGTTATCTGCCCAAGCATGAGGAATTGATATACAAGCAAATTTTGAATGCAAGTCAGTGGTTATGGTATCAATTACATGATCTGCTTGGCTGACTGTGTTCCGATAACTATGGAGAAACTGCCATGACCTGGTGACCATCCATTCTGACTGAGTACTACACGTAGACTGACAGTCTGTACTTTGAGATATGCTATCACTCACACTGTCATTATCCTCTTCAAGGTGATCATCTGCTCCTATGTTTGCTTCAGTGCTTTGATTTTCCACTTCCCCCCTATTGACATCACTGTTGTCATCATCATGGTAGGAGCCTGCTATATAGTCTAGTGCAATAGTCTGTAGTTGATCAAAATGGCTGGTATTCTCTACGTTGAAATCAATTTCACCTGAAGTAAAATTGTTGGATGTGCAATGTACAGTCCCTTCATCTACTCCAACAACTCCATTGAATTGGCTGTGGTCTTCCTCTAATATTTGGCACCAGTTTTCTACCTGCATATAATAACTGCCAGGTGGGTCATTTGATTGAATATCTTGCTTTGGCACTTCATCATCTCCAGAATATGTGATATCCCCATGGTTTCTGAAGCAGCTGGCCTCACTGTGCTGGTCTGAATATCTATATTGGCCCTGGGTTTTGGTACCACATTCATCAATATGTTCCCTCTCCCATTCTGTTGCTGCTCCTGTTGCCGCAGGCTTCCCGTCTTCAGACAATGTAATCTGATAGAGAGTTTTCCTGGAGCTTTGGTCAATACTGCTTTCATTAGGCTCATTTTCTACTTGAGAAAACATTGGCATATCCCCTGCATTATTGCTCCTGCTGTTATTTTCAATTCTGTAATCTGACGAGAAGCCGTTGGCATAATTGCCTTTGCCATCAGAGACCACACAAATTCCAATTTCCTTTTTGCTGTCAGACTCAATGCCTTTTTGAGACTCATTTTTAATGGCTTTATTCTCATGGTTTTCAAACTCACTGACACCGCTTGTATGGACCTCACCATCTGCTGTGTCAAATTTTCTATTATGCAAATCTCCATTGCTGTCAGGAACAGAAACCAGAGGAGGCAATGACAAGGACGTGCTCTCAGTTCCTGTGAGACTTTGATCATTTTCAGTGCCATTGGTCATAGGTAACTGACCGTGTAATGGGGCACCATCACATGCAACAGTCAGGGTGTTATTCCATCTGTTCCCTTTATGGTCACAAGGGTTTTCAGGATTTGTTATGCCATTTACATTATAAACCCTGAGCTCATCACTGGATGATTGACTCCCATCCTCTTCAGCCCAGCCATTGCTGTATGGCTCACTGAAACCATTGAGCTGAACTTCCATGTGGCCATTACAAATTGTTTCACTGTGCCCATTACATTGTGCCGTACTGTTCAAGTCTAAGGAAGTTTCCTCATACTTCAGTAGATTCTGTGGATGTCTCTTTTGAGCATATCTCTTCTTCCCACCAGATGGCTTGATTCTTGATTGTTCCTCCTGAAAAAAATTAATGATATTCAAATCAAAAGTACTCAATTTTCAACACCATGTCACATAAATTGCAAATACTTTCACAAAATAAACTACCTTATCATTTCCTTACAACATATTACATTTTCTCCCCCAGGAATGAGGAAAATTAACCTGCATTATTATTATTATTTTGTCTTATCAAAACATGGATGTGATCACTTGCCACACAAATATTGATTCCTCTGGTGAAAAAAAGGGCAATTTCCCTGGAATAGAATCTAACTAGAACTTGTTTCAACCCAGAAGGAAGTAACACAGATTGAGTTACAATAAAAATCCATCAATTTCTTGCAGGCATCTAAACACTAATAAGTTGGACAGTAAGCTTATATACTTGCCATAAAAACTTATAGAAACCTGAACAGAATTCATAAATGTGCACTCAGGCTTCTTCCTATACAAGTAGAGGCACCTTACTGTACTACAAAGACAACTACATTTATTGTGGGCAAATCAATCATAAAATGCTTAAGGGCCAATATCACAAAATTAACTAATTATATCACCAGATATAACTGACTTAAGTAGTTTAAGTGCTCGTTTCCAATGAAACTATCAGTCTTCCTAGATCAATCCAACTCCATGGGGACTCTCGCTGAATACAATCAGCTTTTCTGTACTCTACTGGATACAAGGAGTAGGTGTGTTTATCTTTTAATCTGATTGCATTCAGCAAGAGTTGGATTGATCTACATGGACCGATAATTTTATTGGCAAAGAGCCCTTAGCTGGGCCTAAAACTTTTCTGTACAACTGGCGCCAGATGCCAGACCAAAATGGTCCATTAAGCACAGATATGAACAGTGAATAATCAAACTCATGATTGCTATGACAAAGGCATTTCTTCATATCAGAAAAAAAAGCATGATTGATACAGATGAATCACCAATGTTTGGAAGCTGCTCCTTTTCCTCCATAATTTTACAAAGGGAATCAATGAAATGTTGGTCTGAACATCCAAGACCAGAAAATTAGTCCCATGTCCAGGAGGATGCAGTCTACTTATAAGTCTTAAACCTTGGCCAATCCATAACTACTTTTTAATATTTGCAATATAAAAACATTTTGCACAGAACAACTTAAATTTGAGTTTAAATTTGTTAAATCTTAAATGTACAAGGAAACGAAATTTATTAATGCAATTGATTACCTCTCATTTTACAGTCTATTTTACTCACTTTAGTATTACATTTTAGTTAAACCTAATAAACAATTACTAGTACTTTAAATCATTTTAGGACAAAAAAACACAGTTCTGATTTGCTTAACTCTCTTGAATAAACCAGTATTAGCATTAACAAATTATTTGCATGCAAGTGTGAGATTATTTCTCCATATATCATAGTAACATATTTTCATTTTGACTCTCAGTAGACACATAGATTTGGCATTTTATATTTTCATTCAACCTCATTTCTTATCCAGATTAACACAGATTATATAAATTTAGACATTTCTGAGATACCATGGCTAATCTTACAGCATTTTTCCGTGTTGTGAAATACAAAGTACATTATAATGCCACATCCTCACCCCACATGAATTTTTTTACATAGAGTTCGTAACTTCCCTCCATATATATATTAAATAATTAAATAATTAAATAATAATTTATTGAGCATTAAAATGTGTACAGTTACATTTTACAAGCTCTCTAAACTACAGTTTTACATAAATTGAGCACATACGCTTAAAATTATTACTACAAATCACTACAATTATTATTATTATTATTATTTAGCAATTTCTTAATGAAATTCTAAGTAGGTACACCACACTGTGTCCATGTCCCTTTGCTACCAGGGTGAAACAAAATGCATTTCCATACCTGCAGCAAGGAGATTTTATCCATGAAACAAAATACACATGGGGTTTTAAACTGTATTAGAGGCAGATGGTTGTTTAATTCCAAGATGAAACACTGTATCGTGAGAATGCACTATCCAAACAAATGGAATCAAATAGTCTTGTCAAGTCCTTTTGGGAATTTGTTCTAGAATAATCTCATTTTAATTGATTAAGCGATAAAGAAGAACCATAAAACATAATATGTGCAACTTGTAAAATCAATTCTGAACATTTCTCAATTACTAGTACATCATCATATATTATCCATAATTCAAATGATATCTTTATTGGAAACTGGTACAATACACTGACTGCATTTTTGTATATACCGTAAAATGTCATTGCTAAGTTTATCTAGGATAGTGGGTATATAATCTTGTAGTTATCATGTCTAACCCACTTGAATGCCAGTTGAGATCATATAATCATTCACCATAGTAGGCAAGTAGTCTCAAAGCTTTATGGATGATAAGATCTATTTTTAAACATTTCATCTCACCTTTTAAACAAAATTTATTATATAACATCCAAAGACTTTTGGTAATGTTTTCTCTTTGTGTTTACAACACATTTTAACCTCTGGTAATTTCAGCTCTTTTTAAAGATTTCCAATACAGAACTACCCTTACAGACCCAAAGGCCCCTAATATGCTGCCACTATACCATTAACTAGTTTGAAAAATGTCGTTTTACCAGAATCTCCCCAGTATGTACATTTGGTCACCCAAACCAATGCTTGTCATTTCCACTTGAGGAAATTGCCATTATCTTAGCACTGTAGTTCTCCTATTGCTCGGCAGTCACACGGCAAACATCAATACTTTCTGCATAAATAGGAAGAGAAATCAATAATGGCAATGACGAAGGAGAGGAAAATAGCACTCCCTCAATCCAAGCACTATGCTGATATAATATATCATTTTATCGCCATAACTAAGGATGGAGACTAATAAGTGGGCTAGTAGCAATTTCAAATGTTCAACTACGGAATATTGTTTATTATGCCCTATTATCACCTCCTGCTCAATATCTTTTAATATCATGACCTTTCAATAAAATCTATTAAATACAAGAACATTAATCATCAGACCATTAACCTGCTATATGAACATGGTGGGTTTAACTACTGATGGGGTGCTACTAGCATTTGCATAATACATGATCAATTTTTTCTCTGGCCCAGCCACAAAAATTATCGCTATTACTCACGTAGCACATTGTTTTAAATGCCTATGTATGCAACAAGGTGTAATGCAAAAAGTGGTGGGTAATCTACCTCCGTTAGGCATTAGCAATAATGTATTTAAACATCTAACAGTTTTCAGGAGAAATGTTTCTTGACTAAGCATTATCTATTTTCCATTGGTCGGTTTCACAAAAGAACATTAGCTCCAAAATTGGTCATAACTTTTGGACAAAAATTGTTCTACTTTCGTTCAAGATAAATCCATAGTACTCCACTTCAATAACATAGATATAGGGCTGAAACAAAACAGACAAAGGATTTCATTATTTTGGACTAATACCAATATATTTTGGGTCAAAGTAGTTTAAAATTTTGGTCTGAAAGTTTAAAACAAAGTTTCTTTTTGAAAGAAGTTCAAGGGTTGGTTAAGTGGAAAATCTTTAGTCCAAAGTTTGACTCAACTTTGAGTAAAAAAAAAAATGTCAAATTTAATTCAAGATAAAGACATAACAGCCCTCTAAAATCAAGTTAATACTGGTATAAAACATGAATCATTTCTTTCTTTTTGTAAATAATGTGCAATATTTCATTTAAGTGGACTATTACAAATTTCCATTGATCAGTCAAACCAAAATTTTTGGTCTTAGAGTTGAGACCAACCTTCTGTCTTGAAGCCTTATGTGGAAGTGTTCACGCATGATGTTTCACAAATCAATGTTCCTAGTGGTGAGGAAGCTTGTTCATGGATAACCTGTATTCAGATAAATTCACTTTGCTTCTTGTGCAGTTGTCATGATATAATGTGTCTAGACGAGCTTCCAAATCCTTTCCCTTGTAAGGCACTTTGATCAATTAAACAAAGTTGATGTTATTCACGGGGCAGTTGGTACTGCCGCAGGCAAATTTCCATCCATTACCATTCTTTATATCAGTTGCAACACCTGGTGGAAGACGCCGACTACGGTTATATTCCTGAGCAGATATTTTTCTCACAGATTAATGAATTTATTCAAGATTACAAGCCATCTTACTCACATGTGTTTTGATCTTCAACATCATTACTTTATCATGACAGACAGGTGCACCTCTGCCAGCCTGGCTTCTAAATCTGTCTGCTTCTCACTAGGTGATAGTGAATCAAATATCAGGTAAGAAGGAAACACCCTCTTGATATTTTCACTAAGTTAATCCACAGACTATACATTGGGCATTGACTGAACACAACAACAACTAAGTCTCCTCATGATATGGTAGTTTTCAGATAATGGTTAAATATTTTTTCTTTTATATATTTACTTGATTAATACCTTAATGTACTGTAAATATCCACTGCTTCTTAACAAAAAAAGTATTCTTTGTCTCAGAAATAATGGTGCTAATATTAATTTACACAAAAACACATGGTCTTGGATTCCTTTTTTCCCCCTTAAGAACTGACATGATTCACTTTCCTATAGAGAGATGATGAGAAAGAATTTTGTCTATGAGTGCACTACAAAATACCATTCTTCTTTGAAGCCAGGGCTCTAATCCCTAACAAGTGCCATCAGTGGTTATGCCTTCCTTTAACAGTCACAACTAGAACCATTTGGGTTGGAAGGGAAACACTCACGAGGGATTCCTTGGAATATATTTCCTGGAATTTTTGTAATTGCCCGGGGCTCAGCAGGTATGTTTAAGTGGGCTGAGCCCATAGTGAAGGCGCCTGCCTTATTTATGAGTGTGTATTCACAGTACACCGAAGCCAGGGATACCCACAGTGAAGAGACTTAACATACCAACACATTTATTTATTCAGTGACATACCATGACTATTCTATAACCCAGTGGCCTATCCTTAGCAAAAAATTACATTTGCCACTATGAAAAGTATCTGCATTATGTCCACATTGTGTTCTTAATAATCATTGGAGCAACTGGGTGGTCAGAATAAATGGCCTTTTCAACTGAAGTGTTTTATATATGATTTCTATAACTAAAAGTGACCATTAAGTCTAATAAAAAGAAAAAAAGCATTAATAAGATTTTAGTGTGAAAATGTTGTTTCAAGAACAATTCATTGGTAAATTTTTTTATTTCTATTAAAATGACAGAAACCACATTGTATAATTATCCACAAATATGCAACAGTTTTGTATATATATCCAAGAATATCAGTAAATGGCATTTTAATGATCTACAGCCTGTAACTTTGCTCCAAGATGACTGATGGAGATACAGGTTTACAGGTGAGCCACCCTGTGGTGGATATTAACTTCTTTAAAGACAGCCATAGCATTTCAGGCTTCAGTTTTTTATGATGCAGTAGGCACAACTGACCTCTAATACAATCCTTCATCACGTAAAATAATCCAAATGGATCAATAAAATACCTGAACCAGAATACAGTGAAGAAGACATGAGCAACTTAAATTTCTCATAATTGATAACCAACTGCAAATACTTATAATTCCATATCAAACAACTGTTTTGATGACAAAAATTAATGGTCTGTGGTTTCCCCTTGAAGATGGTACTGATATAGCACAAACTGTTTTCAATGAGGCATGGACAGGTATTTCTGTTACTTAGAATATACGTTAACCTCCACTGCCCTGTCAGAGGTGAGACTGAGGTCTAAAATACTCCAAATCTTTAACCAAACAGGAATACTTAAGGACCATGCCTTTTGTTCAGTTCCCAACTTCCTTAATTATACGTGAGTTTATGTGCATATGTGTGTGTGTGTATATGTGTGTGTGTGTGTTTGGTGTCACCGTGTGTGTGTGTGTGTGTGTGTGTGTGTGTCTGTGTGTGTGTGTGTGTGTGCAATTTGTTTCCTTGTAAATACATCCCACTGTACATTGTATTCTGTCACACATATCTCCACATCCATTACCAAATACCTCTGTTCAAAGTTTTCAGTTGCCCAACAAATCAGGTGTACTGTAATCATTTGATTTTACTAATATTATTATTATTATTATTATTATCATTAGAAGGAGTCACTTGTTCAGGATGCTTGAAGATTAACTATAGTATGTTATTATAATAACTACATAATTGTAAAGTTCTGATAATAAAAAACGCCTTGAAATAACTTCATTATAAAACATGGGTTCACCACAAAGCACCATGAATCAATTGTTTTAATGTCTACCTTCTGCTTTTTTCTTTTTTTACCTTCTTCTTTCTTGCTCCTGTTGTTGTTGTTGTTGTTGTTGTCCTTTCACTTTCGCTGTCCATATTGTAATTGCAATCGACTTGGCTTGACACATTTCCATTGTCTTCAAGGACAACATCCATTCTCAGCTACAACTGAAAATAATATAAAAGAAATCATTTAAAACTGTTCAATTTAAGTGTATGGAGTCCAAAGGCAGCCACCTTCAGTCCTTGAAAGGTTTTTCATATTCTGATACCCTATTCAGTGAAAACTCAACATAACTAGTGTTTTATTGGATGGTGTTCAGTCCATACATGCCTTTCGGATTTTGATGTCTTCTAGAATATAAGAGATGCCAATAAAAGTAAGTGGCCTGAGACAATGTTTTCAACACAATTGCTATTGGCAAAACCACTGGAAAACTATATTAGCAAAAATCACAATTTCTTGCTTAAGCATCATAAACTGAATATGCCCACATACAAGTAGTGCCTTTTCATCATGTTGCAATAGTGCCATATCTTACAGTTTGAAATAAATGGCTCTTATCTTTATCTTATGTTGTTTACATTTGTACAGTCATAATCAGCTCTAGTCTTCATGTCATGTTCTTAACATTTGTACAATCATGTATAATCCCACAAAGATGCACCCTGATATATATATACAGTTATATATACAATTGATATATATACAACTCTCAAAAAAACAGTTAATCAACTGTGAAAAATCAAACCGATGATCATTTACATAAAGAAAATCATATAATATGTAGAGAGTATGTAATATGTAGAGATGTAGATATTTATGTAAGATTTATAAAACCTAATATAATCAAAAACATCGCAAATCTTTTAGAGTTGACATTCAATTTTAAAGGTTACAACATATCATAAATCTTTTGAATAAACAGAAGCAATAAGTGTACTGGGCTACAGATTGATTTTTCACTAGATATTCACAGATATATCTCTGTCTAATTCATGGCACATATTTCCACCTTGTTGGAGAAAAGTGCACGTAATTAATCTGCAACCCAGGTACTATAGTACAGTGCCAATTTCTCATTTATACCATTTTAATACAAAATTTGTAATATTACAGACCCGTAGCCAGAGATTTCATCATTTTCTGAAAAAGTGGACCTTTTACCATAAAACCTTCTTGTACCTAAATCAAATTTTATCCAGAGTGGTCGTTTTCCCAGCAAAAAAGGGTGGTTCATTCAAACCCCTCGAACCCTTCCTGACTACAGGCCTGTATTATCACACATATTCCATTAAATACATTACACTGTCGAAAATCACAATGGCTAGAGCAATTTACACATTTAACAAAATCATTTATCATATGCATATATTAACTGGCTTTACTTTGAAATATTTCATGTTAAAAAACTGACAACATCACAAAATCTTTAAGGATTTTCAGTATAGTGTTCACAAACATAACATATGGAACATCATTACAAATGAAACCTCGAACTGCAAAGATGAATAAAATATCAGCATTCAAACAAAAGAAAATGTTTGCCAAACAGCACTAGCTTACCCCATCTGGTATTTTTTTGTACTTCTGCACCAGCTATAGTGTTTACAACATTCCTAACACTAATAGCAGCACACATCTCTTCTCTCCTCTACAAGATAATGTACACTGAGAATGCTTTGAACTTAGACACAAGAGAAATATCAGATGAACTGCAGAGCCACATGACTCACTCTCAGCCTCCCAGTAATAAATAGATCCCTTCTGCTGTACTGTACTGTATACTGTGCAGTTTCCTTGCACTGAATACTGACATGACTAATTTCTCTGCTTCAAGTGCAAGGGGGCCAAAAACTTAAACTGAACAAAATCACCATCTTGCATGATGGTATAATGCTATGCAATTTTTCAAATGTCTAAGGCAACAAAGAAAAATTATATATTTGTATTAAAAATATGCATGTGGTATATATACAAAAAAGACTGATAATATTGATTACCTTGGCACCTAAGTAAATGCTTCAAAGATAACCCTGGTCTGTCAGTTTTCCCTTGAAGTGTTTTTTACAGCTCATCGTCACACCTGACAAAGTTTTCTTTGTAACACATCTCACGACATTTCCCTTGTTTATATCATAAGACAATTAATCAAAGAATTCCTTGATTTGATCCACTGAATATCTCTGCCTCTGAGAAGCCCTTGACATTTTCCTAGCACTGATATTAAACAGCAATTACAGAAAGCCAGAATTATTGAATTTTCATGTCAGGAAACTGGAAATTTTGCATTCCAGATGGCAGCATGTGTCTGGAGTGTGTACATTTCTCAGGTTGGTTCATTATCATTTTCTCTCCATTATCAATGCACACAATAACATACAGACTGGGAGGATCAATACACTGGAAGAGGTTCCCCGTCATGCCATGCAAAGCTTAGTATGCCATATCAATATATATATATATATTTCAATGGGGATGGAGGAAAGAATTCCCAGTAACACGACACACCTGTAACTCTATAATTATTGTCCCCACACTTTTCTGATATGATTTCCATAAGTGTAATACTTATATATATTTTTTCTCAAGATAACACAAATGAATCATCAAAAAATCTGCAAAAGTACAAGCTGATAATTCTGTTAGTAATAATTACTAGTAATCATTCATAATATGGGCTGTTTACCTTTTTCAGATCAAAGGAGTCAAAATTACCTTTTCTTCCAGGACAGTGAGAGCAAGTGCAATGAATATAAGATATATTATACCCAAGTTCTTTGTTGTGGAGAGACTGCTGATATTAATATCTACAGTTATTTACCTAAAGCCGATGCACTCAGTGCTAGCATTGCTAAGTACTGTAAACTTACTTTTGGGGGCCTGTAAAAAGAGAAATCTTTAGTGATTCAGAAGATATATCAACCATTCCAAATACTAGCTTTCACTTTTGCAGTACACTTTTATATCATACAAATTTTATTAAATGCCTGGAAATTGTAACATTTTCCCTGTACATTCATATCTGTACAAAAAATTACAATCTATAAATAGGTTACTGAGTTCCTACTTTCTTTTTTGAGTCATTCTTGCAATTTCCTCAATTGTTTAGGATAGGACACATCTTAGTGATAAAAAAGTAAATTACAGTAATTTCCAGGATTTTTTCTCATTTATTAGGATGGTCACTGTCTACATATAAGCTAAGCTCAGTATTGGAAAGAAATATATAATTCCTAGGTCTTCCAGTAGACACTGCCTGTAGCTAACATGTGACAGAGACATTATGTGTAACAAACTAAGATAACCTGCAGAAAAGATCTTACAGCAAGAATGGTCAATCTTTTTTTAAAGTACTAGTAAGTTTGACTGAAGATATTTCTCAAGATTGGTATGTTCACAATATCAAGATCCCATTAGCATTTAATACTCGTGTATTGAATATGTGGTTAAACATAAAAATATAGGCTGATAGTAATAGTAATTAAGTTCAATTGAGATCAGATGTTTATGAAAGGAGGACTAATTAAGTTCCATCTCAATAATGGGAAGTATAAACAATATTCATCAATATTTTGATCATTGTAATTAAATTTCAACCAGAAAAATAAAGTGATAAAAATAAAGAATTTCAGTATCAAACATTTTTTCTTTTACATTTTATAGACCAGGCAAAGGATGCAGAGGTAGGTGTCTCCATCAACAAAAAACAAAAAAAATTAGCATTTATGTTAAATAAGCCTATGAATATATTAAAATGTAACTATCAGGATATTTGTTAAGGAATCTAACAAACATAATTTGTATCAGGACTAATTAATAATAATAATAATAAAATTATTAAATTTCAAAATGATCAAAACTGATTAAATGTTTTTTAACAAATTAAATTTAATATTTTATTTAACTTTGCATATGTATATATTCATACTAGTACATGAAAACTGTATTAAATTTCTTTAAGAGTACTTTACCAATTGATAATTTTTATTTCATTCTATTTTTATTTATTTATTTTTTGTTATATATATTATGGTAGACTAGTGTGGTGTCATGCTAAAGCCAATTTGTGATTTTTTAGCAATCAAAATAAAAGATGAGCACGCTCTCAAAATGTATTTGTCTATAACTTAAGTATAACGTTACTGATAATACACGTACATATGATGTGGTAGAGAAATAAACATCACTTTCATTCTAGTGACTAGTCTAGATCTTCATATATCTTATCGGTATGGGGAACAGACACTACATAGAATGCACAGCATTTTCGTGAACTCAATTCAACACTGTTCACCTCCCTGCTCAAATTTTCTACTGTCAGTGAATTACTACTATAGCCAAATACTGAAACACCGATAATTAATAAGAGCTGAGAGAAAAAGTGCTCGTTTGATGGATTTATTATTTAATTGTTATTGCTAAATGCAACGGCGTTACGCTCATATCATTTACCGGAAATTATACATCACTAATATCCGATTAAATGCATATATTATATACTTACTCAGTCATGATGCAAATGCGACCGTTGGAGGCATTTCTTCGAAGGCATCTCACACACGATAGCATCTTTTTTTTTCTCCTCGGCATTAATTCCATCAGCCTCGTTATAATTTCGGTCAAATCATCCAAGAAGACCCTCTCTTCAGTCGTTATTAGAATGTGGATAATTTAACAATATTAGATGATATTCATATAAATGAAAAAGATGAAAGAAAAAAGGGTGGAAAAAATTAAGGTACATTTTTGTTAGGTCAAGGTGTTGTTCATTTAAAAAAGACTTTACACTAACATGCAGCGCCACCTACAAGTAATTTTAGCAAGAAACTGAAACCGGGAATTCCCAGAATTTGCAGAAGGTGGAAGAGAAAGGAGAAGTGAAGTAAAAACACAGAAAGTAAGTGGTCTGCCGATACGTTAATGATGATGGGAAGCTTTCATTCATTCGTAGATGGCCTAAGTTAATTGTGTAGTTTAGATTTTAGTTCGAGGTGTTTGCCGCAAGAGTCACACAGTTTCATTTATTTCCTGTTAAGTACTANCAATGCACTCAGCATTGCTACTGTAAACTTACTTTTGGGGGCCTGTAAAAAGAGAAATCTTTAGTGATTCAGAAGATATATCAACCATTCCAAATACTAGCTTTCACTTTTGCAGTACACTTTTATATCATACAAATTTTATTAAATGCCTGGAAATTGTAACATTTTCCCTGTACATTCATATCTGTACAAAAAATTACAATCTATAAATAGGTAACTGAGTTCCTACTTTCTTTTTTGAGTCATTCTTGCAATTTCCTCAATTGTTTAGGATAGGACACATCTTAGTGATAAAAAAGTAAATTACAGTAATTTCCAGGATTTTTTCTCATTTATTAGGATGGTCACTGTCTACATATAAGCTAAGCTCAGTATTGGAAAGAAATATATAATTCCTAGGTCTTCCAGTAGACACTGCCTGTAGCTAACATGGGACAGAGACATTATATGTAACAAACTAAGATAACCTGCAGAAAAGATCTTACAGCAAGAATGGTCAATTTTTTTTAAAGTACTAGTAAGTTTGACTGAAGATATTTCTCAAGATTGCTATGTTCACAATATCAAGATCCCCATGAGCATTTAATACTCGTGTATTGAATATGTGGTTAAACATAAAAATATAGGCTGATAGTAATAGTAAGTTCAATTAAGATCAGATGTTTATGAAAGGAGGACTAATTAAGTTCCATCTCAATAATGGGAAGTATTAACAATATTCATCAATATTTTGATCATCGTAATTAAATTTCAACCAGAAAAATAAAGTGATAAAAATAAAGAATTTCAGGATCAAACATTTTTTCTTTTACATTTTATAGACCATGCAGGCAAAGGATGCAGAGGTAGGTGTCTCCACCAACAAAAAACAGAAAAAAAATAGCATTAATGTTAAATAAAGCCAATGAATATATTAAAATGTAAATATCAGAATATTTATTAAGGAATCTAACAAACATAATTTGTATCAGGACTAATTAATAATAATAATAATAATAATAAATTTCAAAATGATCAAAACTGATTAAATGTTTTTTAACAAATTAAATTTAATATTTTATTTAACTTTGCATATGTATATATTAATACTAGTACATGAAAACTGTATTAAATTTCTTTAAGAGTACTTTACCAATTGATAATTTTTATTTCATTCTATTTTTATTTATTTATTTTTTGTTATATATATTAGGGTAGACTAGTGTGGTGTCATGCTAAAGCCAATTTGTGATTTTTTAGCAATCAAAATAAAAGATGAGCACGCTCTCAAAATTTCTTTGTCTATAACTTAAGTATAACGTTACTGGTAATACACGTACATATGATGTAGTAGAGAAATAAACATCACTTTCATTCTAGTGACTAGTCTAGATCTTCATATATATCTAATCGGTATGAGGAACAGACACTACATAGAATGCATAGCATTTTCGTGAACTCAATTCAACAATGTTCACCTCCCTGCTCAAATTTTCTACTGTCAGTGAATTACTACTATAGCCAAATACTGAAACACCGATAATTATAAGAGCTGAGCGAAAAAGTGCTCGTTTTATGTTCGTTCGTTGTTATTGCTAAATGCAACGGCGTTACGCTCATATAATTTACCGGAAATTATATATTACTAATATCCGATTAAATGCATATATTATATACTTACTCAGTCATGATGCAAATGCGACCGTTGGAGGCATTTCTTCGAAGGCATCTCACACACGATAGCATCTTTCTTTTCTCCTCGGCATTAATTCCATTAGCCTCGTTATAATTTGGTCAAATCATCCAAGAAGACCCTCTCTTTGAAGAACAGTCATTATTAGAATGTGGATAATTTAACAATATTAGATGATATCCATATAAATGAAAAAGATGAAAGAAAAAAGGGTGGAAAAAATTAAGGTAATTTTTTGTTAGGTCAAGGTGTTGTTCATTTAAAAAAAAAGGCTTTACACTAACATGCAGCGCCACCTACAAGTAATTTTAGCAAGACCCTGAAACCGGGAATTCCCAGAATTTGCAGAAGGTGGAAGAGAAAGGAGAAGTGAAGTAAAAACACAGAAAGTGAGTGGTCTACCGATACATTAATGATGATGATGATGGGAAGCTTTCATTCATTCGTAGATGGCCTAAGTGAAATGTGTAGTTTAAATTTTAGTTCGAGGTGTTTGCCGTAAGAGTCACACAGTTTCTTTTATTTCCTGTTATTAGTACATGTACATGTAGGATCTACACAATGTTTTTTAATTGAACTAATTTGGTACACGAATAATTACAGATTTTAGTGTGAATAAACCGTTTAAAATTTTTATCCATCACATTTAGATCAAACTGTATTCCGGTTTTAGTGACACCATGCAGGCCCGTAGCCAGCAATTTCAAAAGGGGGGTTCTTTTTCTGAAAAAGTGGACCTTTTTCCATAAAAACTTCATGAACCTAGGTCAAATTTTACCCAGAGTGGACCTTTTCCCACTAAAAGGGGCGGTTCTTTCTAACCCCCCGAACCCCCTCTGGCTACGGGCAGCATGTTTTTATTTTTTTTTTTCAGACCCCACTTTCAAAAATGAGCAATAAGTTGCCCCACTTGATTTTCACCCATAAAAAATTTCGTAGAAACTTGAAATTTACCACAGGAGAGGCGCTCAGCATGAACACCTATTTTATATTTTGATTCTAGGATTTTCCCAAGCAGAGTAATATGTTTATGAAATAGACTTAAGTGATAGAAATTTTGGCCACAAGTGTGTGCAAAATAGGTTGATACAATGTATCTTTCAACAGCCCGGGAGCCACTGGTCTGCCGCTAGGTGGCTATTAAACAAACCGGAAGTTCGAGAATTTGAATTGGGCAATATTTTTTTAGATTTATAGGGTGTCATAAACGGTGTATTATCTCGGCTATTAACGTACTTGGGGTTACAATATGTACATTGTCATATTGAGAAATAAATTTCGAATAATGTGAGATGACCCAAAAGTTGATCTACAGCATATTTAATGTTGAAAAATGAGTTTGAAATCGAAATTTTATTAAAGCTATTACGGAAGTTCGTTTTTGATTTTGATTTTTGTACCTATAGAGGCCTCCGCACAACTTGAAATTTCTACAAGTTGTGGAAAATTTATTCAGCTTTCTGTCAATGTAAGCATGTAAAGAACTTTGCCTTAAGCTGTGAATGGCACAAATCAATTCACGGCCATGTCAGCCTGAAAACTCTCACTTACGATATCCGCATATAAGCCTCGCTTTGACTTAGTGCTTTCTCATGAGCTTCAGTCTCGTTTTAGTTTTTCCTTCACACAGTATTACTTATATAGAGCGACTGGANGCTGCAAAGTATGCAGTTGAGTTTGACCTTTTAATTTAATATTGACTAAATGGGGAACAAGAAGGGGGGGGGGGATAACAAAAAAATTACAAAAGAAGCCCAAATTTCCCATAAAATCTGACATACTGGTTAAAAGTCAGCCCTTGTTCTTCTTTGTGGCTTATACATGTATGTCTTCTTGAAGTCTGATATTGGGGGAGGGGGGGGCATGTTTTATGACAAAACAACTAACGTACACCATCTAGGGGCGTCTGCATTTGTTATTACATGTATGTTATTTAGAATTATCATTGTAAATGATAAACTAGGTGGCCTAAAAATGATAGTAGCATGGCATTACAACGGTACATTATGTGTTGTTGACACGGATTTGATTTTGATATACTGAGTGCTCTACCTGTATTTCATTAATTTATTATTACAAACTGGGCACAATTGAAATTAAAGATCTACCTGTAACTGGCAGTGGGGTATTGTACGGTACTTCCCAGGTGAACTGAAACGTGCATGCCCTAGCTGATTAATGTTACATGTATATTTTATGTGACTTGGGGAGTGCAGGAATAAATCCCTGACTGCATTAAAGAATGTATACAGAAAAGTAGATAATATACATGTACAGTGTGAGTATGTGACATGACCCAGATCCTTTTTTTTTCCAGATGTCAGAAGAGAACATAGGAGGTGCCACAAGTGCCTCTGACCAAACAGAAGCTGAAGATTTACCTGGGCATACCACTGACATTAGCATCAGTGCCCAGCTGAAAGAAATAAAGAAAAACAAGTATATCTGATAATGATATTGATTTATAGATGTTTATCTGCATGTCACAAGCCTGCAAGCTTCATGACACTTTTAAGCGCATTGGTACTTGATTAAAAGTAATTCAGTTTTCAAAACAGAGAATGTACAGAATGTGAATCTAAATCTAAATATTAATTAAAATTCATCTTCTAAGGAGTATAATATTTATTTTTTGTCTGTGTTTTGATAGAAAATTGAATGAAGAGAAAGGGAAAAGGCAAAGAGTTGCAAACGTTCCACCTGGCTGGCAAGATGATGACTGTTATCCAATCACAGACTCTGTTGGAAAAGCTATAATTTTCTATAACAAAAAATTTGATTCCAGTACTTCCAAGAAAACCAGGTATAGACTGTGCATAATTTTACTTTTATTTTAAATTTATTTCAAAGATTATTTTATTGTATAAAAGACAGATGTTTTTTGGTATATTTGTGGAGTAAAATGTGTTTCAGCAGGTAGCTAGTAGCACTAAAGAAGTTGTGTTACTGTCAAAAGGACTACTACTGGTCAAATTCATTGATCTGACAAGGAAACTAAATATCAGCTCAGCCATCAGTGACCAGCTTACTTTGCAAAGTGGTACACTGAATTTTGAAATGTGTGAGCACTTTGGTAACTGAAAAGGATTTTACTCTGCTAATTTAAATTGGGTTTATTAGGGACAATTCCCACAGATATTTGGATTGATCTACCTCCCTGGGGAGTCTCCCTAAATTGCTGTCAACTTCACCGGCTTAAATGTCTGTCACGCCTAGTAAAGCTGTTAGGGGGTAATTATCTTTACCCCCTAGCTGATTCAGTAGGCGTGATAGACTTTTAAGCTGGTTAGTTGATAGCAATTTAGTGAGACTCCCCAGGGAGTTAGACTGATCCAGATGGATCGATCTAGGCATGGGAACCCAGTCTTTCTTTGGTAAAAATCTCAGTACTATTCTTTATGCATTGATGTAACTTATAATTAAGTATCAGACATGCTGAAACTGTCGGTTCAATCGGTCATGACGGAGAAAATTTGTCTGGACCGGTAAAAAATTGGATTTGGTCGGTCCAAAGGACCAACAAGAGTTTTAAGAGCCGCAATTTTGAATTTACAGTCATCATTCGACATACTTCACTCATAAAATTATATAAAACCCAAAGTATTTTTTTCCTTCCATTTCAAACCTATCACATTCACAAAGTAAGCTACCCTAATCGTACTGGTAGTATCTGTCTCAAATGAATAGGGTTATTTTTGGTCCGACAAAAATCCATTCGGACTGACAAATTTTTCATAACTGCCAGTCTAAATGTCCGGCCGTTCTGAAAAGTTTCAGCATGTCTGAAGTATTAATAATTTAAATAGCAATTTAATTTGATGTAATGTGATTCAGTGATATCATGAGAATACTGAATTGCTTTGATTTTGTCTTTTCTCCAAGGATGGGAAAAAATGGAGATACAGAAAATGATGCAAACCAGCTCAAGTCGGTTTTAGAAAAGCTTGGTTTTACAGTGAAATTAAAGAAAGATTATACTGTGGACAGAATGTTAGGACATCTTCAAAATAAGGGTAAGTAATACTTGTTTATTGTGAATAATTAATATTGAACTGTAATGTTTCCATTTTTAATAACAACAGTAGTACTTTGACTGGCTTATGATAGATGTTATAATCAAATACACCACTGCTGCAGTGATTAAGTACAATATTTTACAGAAAAAAACAAAATACAATAGAAGATAATTGACAGTTTTAAGCAAAAATTGCTGTTTTTTAACAGACTGATTATTTTATCACAACAGTTAATCCATTGTGCATGTGAGACATTTTTGATATCGTGAAGCATTCATAAAACTATCAATGTAAATCTCAGCTTAACTTGCTTACAACTGAAACCATCAGCAATATCTACTTGCTCTAGGGTGTTGCATAAGTTATGCTTTGTTGGTGCATGAAAAATTTTAACAATTTCTTACATTATTTTGTTTAAATTTTTCAGTGGCTGCAAAAGAATTTGGCAAAAATGGGTGTTTCTTGTGTATTGTTTTGACACAAGGCGAAGAAACAACAGTGGAACAAGAACAAGATGGCACTGTAAGAACTACCCATACTGATCCAAAAACAAGACATTTTTGGGGAATAGACAGATCTGTCACTGTTGATAAGTTAGTGAGACCTTTCAAGGGTGACAAGTGTCACGAGAGTCTGGCAGCAATACCCAAAATATTTATCATACAGGTAAAGCCAGTGTATCCCTACGTCTGACTTTGTATAGGAATCACGAGGAATATTTGTTTATAAGACACGACATTAATTTAATAATTATATTTGTAAAATACTAAATTAATGTGACTTTAGATAACTGAATAATCTATTTCCACTTTCCTTAAAGCAATCTTAAATTTATGTCCAGTGTTTTGATTAAGGTACTCCCATTAACAGCTGCAAAAATATGAGAAGTAAAATGCAGTTTCATTTTACTTTTAAGATATGGTTCNATGATGACCATTTAAGGAAAATCATGTCACTTACTGTTCTCAAACTTACAGGAAAGAAACATGGGACTAAAATACAGCTTCAGTAGGCAATGCAGTCTGTTTGGTATTTTTATTTATTTATTTATTTATTTTGGCAGTTAAACAGTTTTTTGTGAAAATTTAATTTTTCACATATTGGCATTTTCAAGGTGTGACTTTAAAGTTCCATGATCTTGAAGACTTTTGCTTGTCACATTTTCTGAATGTCCATGTTACTAATATTTTATTAATAACATTTGATTGTCATTATGCTGTTAAACATTATGTAATGTTGCATCAAAATTTGAAGAAACCCCTATTTTGGGCACTGCTCCTATGATGACCATTTAAGGGAAATCATGTCACTTACTGTTCTCAAACTTACAGGAAAGAAACATGGGTCTAACATACAGCTTCAATAGGCAACGCAGTCTGTTTGGTTAATTTTTCTGGCAATTTAACAGTTTTTTGTGAAAATTTAATTTTTCACTTATTTGCATCTTTATTTTCTGTTCTTTGTCTGTACATTTGACAGCTTTGCTGCCTTGTTTTTTTTTCATTTTCAGGTGACTGGTCTTGGTCATGGGAAGGAGCAAGCAATGAGGACTACTGCTTTGTAGAGGGCAGCACTACAGAAAATAAACTCCAAAAAGATCAGAAGAAACAATTATCTTGTTTTGTTCATCACCTGTGCAAAGTATTGAGTGAAGCTGGACGTGAAGCTGACCTTCAGTCTATGTTGACACAGGTTTGTGGTAGAGTTGAGAAGGATGTTCTGACATACTTGAGGTTGTGGGAAGAAGGAGAACACGGCTACCTGTACGATATGTGTGACCTTACTCCTTACATTTCATCTAGCTTGCTCAAGGACGTTTATTTTCACAAAAACCAGTGACAGCAGCAGTTTTCTTTGTATAAAATGTATTTCAATGAATTTTATCTTGAACCAGTACAAAATGTGGTCACTGAATTGTACTAGAGGAAATATAATGGTCACAATTGTCTCATATTCTCTGGCAAACAATTATTCTGTACTGAACATAGAAGCTGGTGCTCAGATATGACAAAAAGATGGTTATAAGAAAATATCAAAATCATGTTTAAACTATTTTTTAGATATTATTAATATTATACTACATTATAATTCAAATTCCATGGTCCAAATTAATTTAATATCAATGTGTCCAAAATTTAAATTGCTGATGGAGACAATATCTGATTACAACATGTACTACTTAATTTCTTTAACTGTTACAATGCTTTTGTTTTGATAAGCCAACAGAAAACTAAACATGATTTGTAGCACACCATATGATTATGAATAAAAATTAACAAATATATAATGATTTATGGAAGTTTGCTACTTGATCTTGGAGCTAATTAAACGTGAAAGTCCTGTTCATCAGTCTGCCTTCTGTTTATGTTGAACTGGCAGTACTCCCTGTTGAACCACCTGAGCCAGTCCCAGCAATCCTAGCATTATCACAATGAAGTATGGAATTCTATAGATGGACTCCACAGCATACATTAGCATGATCACCGTAAGCAAGTGCATCACAGAGGAAACCCACTTGTATATGGACCTAAAATGGGAAAAAAGTAATATATGGTCTGAGCCTTGTTTCAGAATGGCATGACGGTCACTCCCACAGGCCAATCTTGACTCAATTTAGCCTAATTTGAATTATGCATTTAGCCTTATGCTAAGTGTAGTCTAATTTGGCTTTGGTAATGTAAACTTTTTTTGTCCATTTTTTAAAATTACTAATGTAGTGACTGTCATGAAATTTTAGAATTTTAAAATTTATCCAGCTTCTAATGTGATTGTAAAAAAATTCACACTTGACTGAGCCCAGCTGATAAGACAAAATTTTTCAGAAAGGAAAGAAATTTCTGTTTTGGCACAATTTAACAATCTGGAAGAAAAACCCTTACCTATTCAAAGAAGTGTGATTCCCTAAATCTATCATAAACATCACCCCAGTAGCAGCAAGTGCTGTGAGACTAGAAGGATCATGCATCAACTTGTTGGTATATCTGAGGTAGATAGTAAGGGTAAGATGAGATTACTTATGGCAAACTGTCGAATTTAAGTCTACTTTGGTACCAATTTTATCAAATCAATTAAACTTATGGCACTTTTTCAAAATTATATTTGGTTGTAACTCTTTGCAATAATGATCTCTGAGCAAATTTAAAGGGATAATAACTCTTCGTTTCGGCCAAAAAATGAATTTTCCTGGAGTAAACAACAATTTTCCCATACTTATCAATGGCTAATGAATCCATTTTTACATTGAAAGTTAGTCCCTGGTTTTTTTCTAAAAAGTTTGGTTTTTTGTTAAAATCTCTTAAGAGATTTTAACAGAGTATAGCCATCATTGGAGGTCACGTGATCTAAAGACAAGCTCAGATATCAGGAAAAATAGCTATAACTGCCGTTTTTGTGGTAAAACAGAATATATTATATTTCTATGAGTTATTCACAATGTTTTTATTGTGAAATATAGATCTTATACAAAGAGTTATTATCCCTTTAATCTAATAGTTTGACACATTTTCATTGCTTGTTGATTAGTTCAAATGGTAACACAGTATAACATTCATTTAACTTGATTGTGAAATGTACTCACGGCAAATTTTTTACCCAAACTATAAATGCTGGAGAATTTAAAATATAAAGAACCATCCAGACTAGCAGAAGACTAAAATGGAGATTGTATTGTCTTGTGGCACCTTCTCGATCATCTGACACGCGGCTCTCAATGGAATAGTAAAGCACCTGAGAAAATTTAAAACGGTTCTAAAGCACTTCAGGAATTTAAAAGCAATTTTCTGTTATCCAAATATGAAAATGGATGTGCACACAGCAGATGAGTTCTTCTAATACCATAATTGTTATTATTATTATTTAATCGAACATTCTGCCATAATATCCATTTTCTGACATTGGTTTCTCCTTGTTTCATTACATACTAAATAGGTTTTTACTTATCAATAAATAATATTGAAATACTAAACAATTTAACAGCACTTTCATTACTCTTCATTATTATTTTATTAATAATTTATCAATCTAAAATGTTTCATGTATAAATAATTTACCTTAATAAGAGCAATCATATACAGTATCTGAAGACCCAAAGCACCACAGTGGAAGTAAGCGGCATAGGCAGCACCCAACAGTGCTGGGTACTTGAGGAAGCTCAAATATATAACTGGTCTAAAAATCCTGTAAAATGAAACAATTTTATGGACGCAAAATGTTTTGCTGTGGGAATGTCAATTCAAAACATTTTACCATATTTAATAATGAAATGACTCTTGCTTTAATAAAGCCCCCCCCCCCCCCCATATCCTTAAAAATCACAAATAGAAGCCCCAGTTTAAAAATAACCCCCCTTCTTTGATAATAACCCCCTTGTGACAGGATAGTAATGTCAAAACATCAGTCTGACATAGAGATAAGCTTTGGATGTTTTGTAACACCCCCCCCCCAAAAAAAAAAAAAAAAAAAAAAAAATCAAAGCCCTGTGTGAATAAAGGACCCAGTTTTAATAGAGATCTCCCTTCCAAAATTCTGAGCTTTACAGAGGGCTGGGACGCCATTCTGCCAAATTCGGTGAATGTGATTTCTCCTTGGTAACTTGAGGAGTTGCCGACATTGCCATTTAAAAATTTATGTGATTATTATTATTATTAGTTGTAGTAGTAACAGTAATGTGAACAATAAAATAACTATATATATGCCCACCTAAGCACGAGTTCTGTTATCCTGCTTATGACAGCAATGGTGGCTGTGATGACCCAGACATTGACCACCACAATGGCCGTCGCGAGAAGATACAGGACAGGTCCATGGAGAGTGTGCCAGGAGATGTCCTTCTGGTCAAGAGATCTATGGTCATTGTCAGGAATACCCAGGCCGACCAGCTGCTCATACACTGATGTAATTCTGTAATGTTTTTAAATAGACATTAAAACTGCACTTTAGGCTGTTACCATAGAATTGTCTGTATTATTCTTTACATCAAGTGACATTAGTTTCTATAATCCTGACCGTTTTGAGATATTTATCAAATGGTTTTAGGCTTCATATAAGGAACAGTAATACAAGATTTTAAACTGTGTTTTACATTTTTTTTCAAGTTAAGAAAGTCATACTAGCAATTTTTTTTATTCCAACTTGTAGTATAGTACTACTTTAATTATTATACCTTATTTTTAAAAAGTTTACTCTGTAGAGAGCAACAAATTTCGTGTCCCTGTGAAATTAATTCATTCTTCAATTAAAAAAAATTTAATAAATAAAATATCAATTATTCCAAAAATCTTAATAAATAATTAAAATAAATCGGCAAACAACCTAGCTATTCTGGCCAGTATGCCTGCTATAAGCACTACTCTCCATGACTGTCCATATGTTCCCAATGCATACAGGAATGTAGGACAATCTCCATCTAAAAATATATTGAAAAAATACTTTCAATGGATATATTAATTGGTGGACCTCCCAAAAAAGGAAAAAATTATGTGCATTTTTGGGCTTCTCGATACAAAAGTATGAAACTTGAACAAACTGTCAGAGCAGGATGAAATAAATTTTTAAAAAATTAGGAATTAATAAAACAGAAATATTCATCAAATGGCTTGAGCAATATACATCATCTCATCATTCTTACAAAGCCCTGAATAAGTGCTATCAGTAGATCCTTTTCTAATAAAGAGCATGGCACTTTCACCAAGGCTGATTTTGTTTGCAAATTTCATCAATTGCTATCAATAATTCACAGGTGTGTTCATTAGGAATTCTTTGTATCACTTGCACTGGCCACTTAATACAAGGTGCCCATAAACTATGAACACTTACCAGATATCACTAAGTATAACTTACTAAAAATAATTTTAATATAAATCTTGCAAAGTACAAACTGTGTATCACAAATGGTGTTATTTGTTAATTTCTCAATTAAATAAAAGGTGGTTCAATTTATTTCATTAAAATATACATTTTGCCAATTTGTGCAAACTTTTGGAACACCCTATTGCTTTATAATGCAAGCAACTGGCTGGTCAATATCCCACAGCTATTTACTGAGGCAGAAGTGCTGAAATATCATTGACCAAGGTGTCACTTCATCCAGGGGCAACATGCTGTGAATATACAACTTAAGGTAAATTCCTTGTGAAATTTAGAGATTAGATAGAAATTAAGAGATTATTTGCAGATTTGGAAATTACAGTAGGCGCCGATTACCTGTCAATTTGACTGTAACTTAAATTATCATTTAACTCCTAATTTTGTAGAATAGGTTTTTTTTAGCTTAAATGTCCTGTTTAAATATCCAAGGATCTAATAATACAGCCAGGCAGGTAAACTACAATTGGTTATTAACTGGCAAAGAATGATAAAATAAGTGTCTATATAATATAAAACTTAATGCAGGAAATTTATGATGAATTTAAAAAATCAAAATGAATTATTAGGAAAAACACAAAATTTCTACCTGGTTTACCAAGGCACTTGAGTTGATATAGCAAGGCCATCAAAATATTTGCCACAATGTATGATGGGAGGAGCAGGGCATAGAAACGCACATACTGAAAATAAAAGAACTTGTTTTAAAATTGGATATTTGATACACTAGGCTGAAAGGAATAAACGTTGATGTTACAGGTAAGATATCAACATTACCCAGCAAACTGAAAATGTCCTGTGGAGCACCTTCTCATATAATCACTGCTAATTAGTTATCTTTTTGACAGACTGTCCAAGGAAGTGTACTGGCTTACAAAATAGATTTTATTAGTTATTACACAGGGAATATCTATACCCAAACAACAATGCAAACAAATTTTTCCAAAGAGATGTATTTTCTTTGTTTACAGAAATAGCAATGTGTTCAACTAACCAATTGCAAATTGCTTATAATCAGTAGCACTATCAATAAAAATCTGAATTCAAAATTGCCAAATTACTCGATCATAAACATTGTATAAAAAGTTCCATTTAAACTTCATTCAATTCTAAAATCCATATTGTCACCAACAATATAGACAGCACAACAATACAGCTATTGAGTTTGTTTTAAAAAAAAGCAAATATGACTGTCAGCAGTCAGTTACTAATCAAACAGGCCTTATAATTAATGTTTACAATACGATCAATGATAGAATGATACACTATATCTGAAACTCGTAGGTCGCTTGTGAAGACACTGTATTGACATTGCGATAAGCGTCAGTGCAAAATAAATTCAGTGTTAGTTAGACCAACAGACATCCCAGGCAGGAAGGAGAGAGAGCTGATTTGAGCTTGTGTCTACGATGTGCGCAGCATGTGAGTTGCCAACCACTTATATTTAACAACAAAACTGAATCCGATAATTTGTTTTCATTTGAAACCACCATATTTGCTCAGTAGTAGGCATTTTGTATTTGCACTTGTCTGTGGTAGCCACTTTTCTGTTCACTGACGTGAAAATGCATTATCCAGGCAGCAGAGATTTGTTTGATTTTGTCTTCAGTTACGGCTTTTATAATATTGAATGTACAACCAGCATCAGCTGAGGCTAACAAAATACTGCATTAATTTTACTCCCTGGGTACCATATAGCACTGATTACTTAAAGGTAATTTAAGCCAAATGGTTAGATACAACAAACAGATGCTAAAAAGGAGAAAAAAAAACAGCTTGAATAATATTGCATGTACAGCCAGCATCAATGAGACTAATGAAATGCTGTGTTAATATAATCCCTTCATTCCATGGAAATGACGTTTAAAGGTAACCCAAGTCAAACTAGAAGAGAAAACAGAGGTGAAAAAAATGAGGAACTCTTGACACAGCAATGTCAATCTACCTTATTTCCAGTGATTACTAACCACCATTGAATTTATTATTAAAAACCTTTACTCCTTGTGGAAATCAAACTGATCTGGGCAAACACAGACACACAGTTGGCCAACCATAAACAGTTGCACACAAATGCTTAATGCATGTAATGGGGGGTATTTACACTTTACAAATTGACTGCACTATTCAGTTGTATTTTCACTACAAATAGACTGGACAATGCAATGATATGGATTGATTGATCTTAGAAAACCCACTCTCAAGGTGTTTTCCTTAGCTACTCCTCTGGGTCGATAGGCACAGAGATGAAGCACAAAGTTTTGTTGGGTGTCATTTTTCTACAGATTTGACTCTTGGTATCTTTACAACAGAAAATGTAAGAATGTCAGATCACCAGCCAGGGTTTTTCAACCTTAAAATCACAGTGAGTTTTTTGGACAATACCAGTTAAATGTGAGTATCTTTCATTGATTCATTTTTGTAACTGGAGTAAGTGAAGTGTTCTCTAGCTATGAAAATAATGCATAATTGAAAGTGTTAAAGCTACTTAATCCCCTACTGAAACCAAATGGCTGAGGAAAAAAACACAAACCATGCCATATTTCCCTTCATCTGTCTAATTACTCAACAAAAATGTTTTTAATGCATGAATTTTGCCTGAACTCATATAACTACTGTGTATATATGGATACAAAAATTTTAGTGTGAGGCAAAACAAAATGAAACAGGCTGTCATACATGTATGCCGTGCAAAGAAAAGAAAAAGGTGGAGTTTAATGTAAGCATACGTACAAAACTGGTAGCACCCCTGAAATCTTCTGTGACTACTAGGTAATTTTATCTCCATATGCTGGTTAGATAATATCTCATGTAAGATGACATGATTTTCCATTCTTTTTCAAAACGAGATATATTTTATGTAACTATGAATGACTTAAAACACGCCAGTTTGAAAAGACCACAACCTGTCGGTAAACAGTCTACAAGATAAATGATAAACTCAATAAATAAAGTTCATGTTTATCAAATATTGTTGTCACAACAAACCAATATTACTATTGCAAATAAAGTGTGTGCTTTTGTTACGTCAAAACAACTAACAAGACCAGTATGCTCTTACATATGTTAGGATAACTTTTAATCCAGCCAATATAAAGTTAACCTGTTTCTTTTCATATTTCAAAGAGATCAAAATGTTGAGTCAAATCTATAACTATTACAATTGATAGCATACTGTTTTATCTATCATTTCTTTAATTTCATCAAATTTGTCATAAAAAAAACTAACCTCAGGTGGGGCAACAATATTCTTTTTCTCAACTAAACATATTCTAAATAAGCAACAAATCATCTTATGACACTTATTAAATTTTTACTGTAAAATATCAAAATAATCATGTTTTTCTTCATTACAGGGATGACACAGACATAAGAAGTATGATTTCCTCAAGACCTCAGACTTCGAAGGAACTGGTGGCCATAAAAACAAACCGTTACGACGCTCTAACTCCAATGAGAGGAATCGCCAAGGAGAAAAACGTCAAATTTCACAGCAACATTGTACAGAAAGAGGAAACTTACAGGAGTAAATTGCTGGAAACCTGTGCCCCGGAATATAACGCAGGTCGCTTGAGTGCTGCTAGAGTCTTGGAAATCGACACCTGGAGACAGGACGTGGAATCTCCCCTGCATCCAAAGAGACTACACTGCCACAACTGTCAAGCCAAGCAAGAGAAGCTTGTGTTTCTCAAGGATATCCCCCCTCCCACTCCTTGCCCTACAAATGCCAGCCAAGCTTCAACTTTTGTCCCCACTAGCTCCGTTACCAGGTTTAAAAGCTCTACCTGGCCAAAGCGACTTGGGTCGAACAAACAGCTGGAGGCCTTAAAAAACAGACTTGCTGATGTGTCTCTTCATTACACAGATATGAGGCAGAGTGTAGAAAATGGCTTCAAGAGAAAAAGATCTCCCACCAAAAATGAGATTGAGTACGACATCAGGTTGCAGAGGCCAGACAGTGGTTTTCCAGCAGAGGACGTTTCCTCAAGTGACTCCGAGATAGAGGTTAAAACAAAAACTCAAAAAAGTATGAGGTCTCATTCAAACTCTCTTCTTCACGTGACCTCTATTGACGACTGTCGGATGTCGCACAGAAAATCACCCAGAAGAGTTCTCAGCGCTCATCCTGCCAGCAGACGTAGAGGAGATAGTGGAAAACGTGCAGGTACTTCTCCTGGGTTGAAATATTTTCACCAAGGCAGCAGCAATTCAAGACCGCAAAGTGTGGGTACTGTAAGTACAAGCTTTAGCATTGGTGGACACAGCGATCACACTCTACGACAGGGCAGTGGCAAATCTGGCATTTCCAGTGCCATTTCAAGACAAATTTCTACAGTAACCGAGCCAACCCATGCTGTAGACACTTGCAATAATGCAGCAGTGGAAAAGGCATTTCAAAACTTACTTAGCAGTCATGATATTGTACATAACACTGCAAAGAGAGGACTTTTCAAATATGAAAAATTTGCCTCGAAAAAATGTCAATTCAAAGAAGAATCTGAAGGGTTTAAAAAGAGAAATGCTGAGCTGCATGCTTATATAGAAAGTGCAATCATCAACAAAACATTATCAAAGGACAAAGATGGTGTGTCTGCTGGCAAAACGCGAAGAAGACCAAGTTCGGCAGGAAGTATTTCTTCGAACAGATCAGACCAATCAGGAATTACCTTCAAAGTGAGACCAGCAACATCTGACAGTAAAAAAACAAAAGACAGCTCATCAGTTATGACCAACAAAAAAGGTCCAGTCAAAAAGCAATTTTTGGAAACTCTTTTGGATTTACAAAGTGAGATAGACACACTAGATAATGAGGAGTCAATGCAAAACTAGATTTTTTTACATATGTCTTTCGAAAAATTGAATCAAAGACAGCCATTGAGGACCATGCTGTACTATATACACAACTGAAGAATTTTATCCTAGGGGATTATCATGAAGTGGTATTTTAAATTTATCTTTAGGATTTAAACCCCAATGCAAATTCCTTCAATGTTACTACAGGGTTAATCTGAAAATCAAACAGTATGACAATAGTGAGGCAAGTTAGATGAATGACCTGGAGAGTTCAATAATGTTGTTTCCATGTACCACGATACTGTTCTCTTTACAGTAAGGCTCAGATTACAAGTAACAAATTGCTGACAATTATTTTTTTGGTCTACATGCAATTGGCTTGAAGAGACTTCTTTGAGGAGGAGAAAGGCCTTGCTACTTAAATTTGAGGAGAACATAGTGGTCTTGGCACATAAAAAGAGCAAAAATATGTGTCTACTGCAATGATTTACTTGGCTATTAATATTACAAACGACACTGTGCAATTGTATAATTGTTTGCTCAATACTGATATTTATCAAAAATGTATTAGTCAAAGTTATAGATGTCACTTAATTTCAACGACGGGCTATGCAATTCATACCTGACTAAAATATAACATGACTGTTCAGCAGTCACATTTTCTTCTAAATGTTATCTGTTATTGAAGAAATCACTTTTCAGTTAACAAAGTGCATGCAATTTATATTGCAGCTGTAATGAGTGTTCTTTATTCTGAATATCCACTAAGAATGACTACTTTAAAAAAGAAATTCAGAATAACATGTTTAGTCAGGAACAATGTTATTGTGCAATAATATACCGATATGATCAATTCAGGGTGAAAGTCAGAAAAAATCAATTGTCATTTATGTATTGGTGAACAAAGGAAGAGATCAAAAACAAATCTTCTGTGACATAAATGGAAATATAGATTTATGATATACAATTATTACATAAAAGAGATTCCATTCCTTTTTAAACTGTAGTTGTTGTAGTCAAACACCAAAAAGTCAATTATAATATTGTATATCCCTATGCACCTGGGATGTTTGCCACTGGCCAACCTAAAGCAACTGACTACTAAATTTAGTACCAGACTAGTAAAAAGATAACTTTTCAAAGTTACGAATTCAACTGAACGAGTAAAAATTTCTGCAATTATTCTGAAATAATTTTTAATTATTCAGAGATGTCATCTCTGGACCTATTAAAGTTTGTTTTAGATTTGGACTAATTGTCTAATAGTTTTCTTGGGCTCACTAGTCAGAGTGACTAACCAGTGGGCTGAAGATTAAAACACAAAGGCTGTTTCCTGGTAAAAAGTTTTAGAATTCAACTTACCTGGCCAAATAATTCCTTGTAAGCCACAGCTATCTGTACTTTATAAGTACACCCTGGGTGTAACAAGATGTAGAACTCTGCAGCATCCCTGGAATCGTCTGGCATCCCAGCATGCAACTTCAAGGAGAGATTTCCTGTCTGCCCAAGGCTTTAGGATAAAATGTAACGTGATATGAATACCAACAACTATTTTATAAAACTATGAGTACGTCTTGTATCATTTCTACTTTTCTTGTATATTATAATTTTACACATTTAAATGCATATTAAAATATACATTCCTTTTTCAAAAGATTAAATAGAAAAGCAAAGACGGCACAAAAGAATATTTGTTACTAAATTTTTGACCAAAATATCAGTCTTGAAATAGCTGCATATTTATACATTTATGTATATTATAAGAATAAAACAGATAATATATTTTTATCATATACTGTATTCTGTTATTTACCTGCTAAATGCATATGTTCTTTCCTGGCTCCAGGGTTCATTGTACATCATTAAATTACTCCTAAAATTACCTAGAAGTTTAAATTGGTTTGATTATGAGAAAAAGTGGGAGTTCTGAAACATTAATTTTTGTAAATATGATAATATGACTTCATTAATTAACAATTTATGTTTGAATTTCATATTAATATCATAGTTCCAATGTTCGAACCCAAAATTTGTGATTCTTTTCTTCTTTACAAAAACAAAATAAAAATTGAAGAAAAATCTGAATATTTTTTACTGCCAAAAAAAATTCTGAATTTTTTTTAATTTCTTTTTTGTTCGCTGAAAAAAAAGAGAGCAATAAAAGGGAGCTAAGTCTGCTTCCTACACGCCCAAGTATTAGCTTTCACTTCTTACAAAGAAGTTTCCCTCCTCAGTTAAAAAAAGACCAAAGAATCTATAAATATGGCAACATGTACCTGAAAATGACCCACATCAGCTTCCCCTTACTGTTGACCCCCACTTTAATATCTATTAAAGATCTCAGGTTTTTAAACCAACATTTACCTTTAAATTAGTTTGATTTTTAAAACTAATCCATTACCTGACTCTGTCTTCTCACAGTTGATGGTCAGAAGTTGTGCAGCGTAAGCCTGCCATACCATAGAGAGACTGGGGAGACTGACATTATAAAACACAGCTCCTGGGGTCGTAGACTCCAAAAACGGTTCAGATTCCATAATGCTTTTTGGAAAACCTTTTAGCAATTTGAGTACTCTTTGGAAAAATGGCGGTGGCTCGAATGCAATGTTTCTTTCTTCAGGGTTGTACAATTCTGCAGTTATTTCAGCCTGCAAGTAATTTTAAATAAGGTTAAAGCCAAGAAATAAGAAGCATATCAATTATAGTTCTGTTTTGGTAATCTATTAAATTAATTACGTTAAAATGAATGGAAAAAAGCATGTGTAATACAAACTTGCTGTTCTTTTGATTTTTGAATATGATGGTTATTTTATATTTAAAATTCTAACACATAGGAAACCTTACTGAACATCTAAAGAGCAGATGACTAACTTACCAATGTCTGGTCTTTTGGTACTACCAATATCAGGTGAGAAAACCCTTCAATATTTTCTGGTTTCAGTAATATCATCTGTTAAAATATATTTGAAAAATACTGTTTGACAAAAGCAAATAAAAAAAAACATATACTATAGCCTGAGTGGGTCAAATAATTGTGGGCAAATACTTCTAAGGCAATCAAATTAAATTCAAACAGATGCAATACGTATCAAAACAACTGAGGATTATTTTCACATACACGTAGTTTTATGTCATCACGGTCAATGAAATTCCTCAAAATGAGATGTTATTGCATTTTATACCAAGGCAGATAATGATAACAAAAGACCCAATTGTGGTGTACATGTTGTATACAGGAATGCCATCGATCGATATCTATTGTGAACTGTGTCACAAGTCAGATAAAATACTCATTAGCAAGATGCATAAGACCCCACTCTTTTGTTTTGATTAAATTCTTCAATCAAATACTGATATTTTATATCTTTTCATAAAAAAATCACAACCATTACCTTCTTCCCCGATTTCATGGGTGGAATCAATGAACCCTTTGATGCCAGGCTGATGCCTTCAGAACTAAAAAGAAATAAATAATAATAATAATATTTTTTTAAAAGACCAGATGCTCATTTTGATTTTCTGCTCATTATATGACATCATCATCATATTTTTACATCTAGTCCCTACTAGTATGAAAATCTTATGTGACTGACCTAAAGTGGGGGTCCTTTGTGTGCAACTACAGCTATACCTGTAGCAATATCACTGCAGGATCTTTCACCACTGAACCAACTAGAATACATTAAAACTGTTATAATCTATCTTACTTCAAAGCATTTGCTTTCCACTTATAAACTGTACACATTACAATATCCCATGCAAGACACCAATAAAGGGGGTTATATTTAATATGAGGCAAGGAAGTGAAATATTATAATATCTGTATTTACCAACTGCCATTTGCATCTGCTGTACAACCAATAATCCAGTCTTCCAAATCCTACAAAGACACTCAAGTCATATACTCACAAACTTCAACAACACATAAAAAATCAACAATTCAAGTCCAATTGTCACACATACATGGGACAGCAATATCACTGAGACATTAGTGAAAAGTGTTCAGTCTCATTATAACACAAAATGAGGGAAGTTACATAGTGATCCAAAGTTTTGTGAGTTACAGCTCAAGATAGTGTACATATTTAAAAACTTTAAGCTTATAATATAATCAAAAGACAACACAGATAAATTTACATCAAAATTTATGTTCATTTTCATTAATTAAAATAATCAAAACGTCCAGTTTTGAGAATTTCTTTTATTAACTGAAAATAAGTTTAGTTTCCTCTCAAACCAGTCTGTCTATGAAATTTACGGACTCGGTAATATTGTTCCAGTTCACCTACCACATTACTGACAGCTACAAATGATTTTCCTTTCTGAACAGGAACAACTAGATATCTGGTTGACTTGCTCTAAAAAGAGAGAAAAAGAGAAGAATTATAAGAAACAGTATAAATATGTCTTGAAGAGTCATATTAAAAGCTTCATAACATATAACAGAGCATTAACCACAAGATTAAAAGCATATTTCATTTTTCTTACAGTTTACATTTCTACACAAATTTCTTTTCCCAGTCTTTATAAAGCATTAAAGGAAACTACACATGATTTTAGGATCACAGACCTATTGGATTTGATAATTTATTTGAAAACTATAGTCTGGCAGTTTAATAATGTATGTACATGTAAATGGGGTTACGCTTTCCTGATTTTAAACACTACCACATTTATCATTCTTTATATCTGTTTTTAATCTATTATACTTACAATATCCCTGAAAAAGTTCCAGGATTTCTGCTTCTTGACCTCCCACTTGGTCTTTGTATTCAGTTTGACTGTGGTGCTGGCAGCAGTGGCCACACCAGGGCTCTTCTTGGTGCCAGAGTGGTGCACAAAATGGTGCCTAAACACTGCCACCTTGTGGTCAACATCTCTGGTTATCTGATACCAGACATACCAAAACAAATACAAAGGTATGAATACCAAGCAAGGCAATAATGATGATGGAAATAATTTGGTTAAAAAATTAATGAAAAACACAATTAAAATTCGACTTAGGCATGCAGCTTACACTGTGACATCTAGATATTTCTTCTACTTGACTAATAGTTCATTCATTTCGAGCAGGTACATGTATGAACTAATGACGAGAGTGGTGAAACCAATTAGGTTCTATTTTGTTCTTTGTTTTGTGAAATTTTTCTGTCACTGTTGCTTTTGATAGTGTATCTGTATTATCTAAAGATGTATAATTTTAAGTGTGTATACCTGTCTTTTCTTGGTATCAATGACATCAAACATGGCTCTCTTGGTGACCAATACCGTCTGCTTGCACCTACAGAAAACAACAAATAAATAAATAAATACATTAATTTATTCATTTTTTCATTAATTTATTAATTATTTAATCAGTTTCCAATTTACAAATCTGAGAAAAATCAAAATGAAATTCAAGGCTTACAAAAATGATTACATATCAGATGAGCACTACTTTTACACTATATCCAATAATAAATGTTTCATCAAAAACAAAATAACAATACTTTCTTTTTTCTGTTTGTGAAAATTCCAACAAAACTGAAACAAATACAAACCACACAATGCACAGATGATCTGTTGACACCCAGGCTTTAGGCACTGACATGGTCTGCAATAAACACCACAAAGCTTTAGTGATACAAACTTCATTTCTCACACAGACTGTGTCACCTTATGCTGCATTACAAATGTACTTTGATTTGGTAATTTCAATAATTTTTTGTACTGCCAACCTGTGTCTGTATGCTAATGCAGTGATATAAAATAAAATAACTAAGAAAAAAGAATCAGATATCTAAAACAAGATAATAAAAGAACAAATAACCTAGTACATGCAAAAAAAAAATGTGCCAAAGCATATCTAACAACAAAAATATCATCCCTTTCAATCAAAGGAATTAAATTTCTAAAAGCATCTCAAACTTAAAACACCATCTCACTTCTGACAGAACAATGAGGTTTTCTTACCTGGGAACTGATGCTCCTTTCCTCTGGAATAATCTGCAAAAATAGGAAAAGCAAATATATTAATTTTGTCTATTATAAACAAATTACAAATCAATTACAAAATAATCCTTCATGCACTTTATTAAATATTACATGGTATCACTAGGAAATTTTTCATGTACTAGACAATATGCTTTGACTTGAATATGTTCTTGTGATTAACAGCATGGACCACGTTTGCTTAATGTAAATGTCTTACTCCATCTAAACTAGTGAGTCTATTCCTGACTAGGATATCCCTGTATCCACCCCCAGTGGAGAAGACTGTCACATCCTTCAAACTGCCATTCATATTATCCCGCCAGTATCCATTCACTCTGTCATAAAACTCACTCTGGCGTATATCTATATCTATCACTGGTAAAAATAAAATAATCATCAACATAAATCATATAAAATATGAGTATTAAGCAATTTTAACAAAACTTTAACAAAGTATTTCAAAAAGAAAGAATGAAGAGAGAAATTGTCCTCCTTGCGAACAGAAAACAATTAAATTTGATAAAGGGTTATTACATGAAATCATTAAATGAAATATGACATTATAGTTTAGGAATTGTATAATGCACTTAACATACAATAAGACAGCAAAATGTTAAACCTTTTTAATCACTCATGGCAAATAAATAGAAGACTAGAGTCATCAGTACATCTTAAATATTTTACCTGGGCTCCTATGTGGCGTTGCCTGGGTGATGATCAAATGAACCAGTTTGGGATCAAAGCCAGGTAGAGTAAACAAACCTCTGGCGACCATTCCTCCCTAAAAATACATATAAATAGAAATTGTTGTATTTCTTCAAAGATGAACTAAAGATGAATTCCATTGGTATTTTTATAAAATTAGAAATAAAGAAATATTATAGCATTCTTCCCAAACAAATAAAATTTATGTATCCCGATGTTCTTCAAAATTACCATTTTAATTTTCCAAATTTTCCTAAACAGTATACCCTACAAATTTATTTAAATTTTATTACTGATATGATAATCTTTGAATAATTATATGATAGAAAAGAGAGAGAGTTGTGCTGTAGACTTATCTGTGACAAAAGGAAAGTAATTTTGAACAAGAATCAGGACATGAAAAAAAGCAAAAATCCCTTACCATAGAATGGCCCACTACAACAACACTATCAGGTATATGAGTTGAGGACTTGTACAGTTTCAGTATGGCCTTTATACATTCGTGAACAAATTCTGAAATGAAAGAGGTTTTATTTCTCTTACAGATTGCATAACCCTATAACATACATGTATTATAAATCTAAGGTAACAGCACAATATTGAGTGATGTCAAACTCTGTTCATAGATGTAATGTTACCACAGTGAAATAAATATGTAGTAAATATGTATAAAGAGAATTTGATTTTCAAACAGATCTCGGTGACTGAGCATTAAATAAAGAGCAAAAATGCCATGTAACATACATATTTGAATTACACCATACAACACCAGGGTCTATTCAACAAATGAACTCCAGTTTTTTAGTTTTAAAATTATGTGTGAAACTGGGTCCAATACATTGTTCTCACCTGTTTGGTCTTGAAGAACTCCCCCATATATTCCAGACATTTCCTGGAACAGAAAATTTGCATAATGAATGGTTATGTATATTCAAATTAAAAAAAAAATATTTCCCAGATAAAAAATATTAAATACTAAAAATGACTTTTGTTGTAGCCTACAACTTACAGTCGAGCAATCCTACACTCTAGCATATACTGAGCTTTAGCAAACTGCTGAACAAAATCTAAATTGGCTTAAAATTTAAAAAAATATATTACAATGAGATTTACAGAAAATACCAATGACTTTTCTCTAAATTCTGTTTTGGTCACAATTATCCAAATACTTAGCTTAATGACTTGTCAACCTTATGTGAGCACATATATTAAGTTGTGTACAAGCAAGAAGTACCCACCTCATTTAAATCAACTGAGAAGTAGTTGAAGTGGATGTTGTCTTTCCTAGTGTTGGACTTCTGCAATGCAACTGATGCCAAGGACCTCACTAAAACAGAAAAATTTGGCACTAAAAAAGTACAAGAATATATTATGTTTTATATCCTCATGGTCAGATACACATAATGTATATAGTATTAGTAGTAATCACATAACATGGACCTTGGAACTGGAAACATTGTCAAGTTTATGCAAAGATTCAATTTCAAATAAAATTTCGCTACAATGTTACCAAAGAAAAAGTTGGTACTGTAAAGTTTATTTCAGATAAATGATAATTCAAGTTATAAGGTGATGAGTTATGTGTAGTCTGCATTATTTATGTTATATGTTTTCTTTTTGCAATAAGTATCCAGGGTGCCAACACTGTGTATTTCATATATTCTAGGCAATTATTCATTGTGGATCCCATGTTTAACATCAACCATATTGTTAATTACATGTCAAACAATACCAGTAGATCTACAAATTATGCATACTGTAACATAACCTATCCTGAGTATGTTGTTAAATAATAATTATCAGTGTCATAAAAGTTCTAAATCCTTATTCTCTTTTATCAGTCCAATGCTTTTAATCAAATTAAATTAAATTAAATTAACCCTGTCAGCCAAGTGTCAGGATAATAAAGGCTGAGACATAAACCCGCACATGAACAAATACCTTGTTTATAGCTGCCAGCATTGCCAGGAATGAACAGCACTGGGATTCCAGTCAACTTCAGACTCCTTCAAATGGAACAGCATATTTATACACATTATAATTATCATAATTCCAGAAGCATGACATATTGGGTAGATAAAAAAAAAATTCACCAACTTCATATCCATGTAATAATGTCTCAAAAACTTAGCCCCTATACATTTTAATGGATTTTTTAATTTTTGCTTGCCCCGAGCTTCAATTGCAGCTTTATATTTTTAAACCTCCATATGTGCATGTTTACAAGCAACAGAAGTAAGCATGAAAATGTAAAAAATAGAGAAACAGCTCGATGTGTCTGTGAGTTCAGGCCACTTTCTACATGGCAATGTTTCTGGCCCAAACCAGGTTTGACTCAATATAAATTCTTTTTATTCACCTGCGAGATTCAAGAAAATCACTCCACTTACCACGCTACCTCAAAAAATTATTAGAATATATATGAATATGGACGGCAATACTTCAATATCTATTTTTCTTTACTGAAAATGCCATTTAAGTGACATTTTATGGGATTTGCACCAAAAAGAATTATGTGTCACATAGTATGACACATTAACTATTACTATTACAGGCTATTTGAAAAGAAAATTAAGTGATTTAAGATGAAAAAAAACTAACATAATAGTCAAATAAGCAACATTTACCTTAGTTTCACTGCATATTCACTGAAATGTATGAAATGAAATATAAACAAGGATATTTCAATAAAAACAAGTAAACATCGAATCTAATTAAAAATCAATATCATTCTTATTTATTGAAAAGTTGTTATTGGTGAACACTTAACCTATTTGAAGAAAATGGTATTACATTGAGTTGAAACGTTACAATGTATGTAACAAAAAATGGCACTTAAAATTACAATTTTATACTTACCCTTCGCCATATATGTACAAATCATATCTCGGGAATTTTTCTTTAACATTCTTTTTGAGGTTGATTTTCTGAAAGGTGATAGCAATTAAATTATTAATGATGTAAATATATTAAATAATGACATCTGCAGAAAACAACAACACTGAGGTAAAAAAAAAAAGTGAAAAGCTGATTATTTCACATGATATGATTATGATCAGTTTTAAATAGTACTTGTAAGTTTATGATTAAACATAAAGCTACTGGAAATATATGTGCCAATATCACCATTGCATCAGATGACCTGTAAATTATCATAGCTAGCCTAGTATGAATTAACTGTACATGTATGTTCTCACTTCATTTTATATTTTTATATATTTTATAAAAAAATAAATTTTACATCCCCTCTAAAAAGAAACGAACAGGGAAAACAACGACGACAAGATGTTGATAGTCATATTATAAGCTCACTGCACAATGTTATAATTTTCAGATACATTGGCACTGAAGGTCAAAATCTAGGACATGTCTAGCCATTGATTGATAAATGCATGGCCATGGGACAGAAGTCGACTGACCCTGAAGCAGATTTGCAGACGTAATATTGTGAAAAAAATCACAGCAAACATACCGTATATTGCGGGTACTGGAACATATACGTCATCTCACAACCATTTTCCTCAAAATTTGTGAGAAAATCGTGCAATCCAAGTGCAAATAACACACACCAAAGCAGGATGTCTCTGGTTAGCGGTTCAGCCATGGTGCTTGACCTAGTTTCGTCTTCCAGGCTAAATATAGAACCATAAATAGGTCACGAAAATGGCGTTGCAGGAACAGTACGACACTGCGCTGCTAGGAATCCTTCAAAATGAAGGGTCTTTGGCGAATTTCATTGATGTTATAATGGGGTTTCTTTATAGAAGGTGAGTCTTTCGTAGAGAGGCATGTAAAGTATTGACAAGAAATGTAAGATTGTAAATAACGTTAACTTTTTTTACTGTTACTACAGTGTTTTGAATGTATGACAAATGTGACAAAAATAACATGTACTAGTAGTAACGATTCATCACATCCAACATCATATAGAAATTTGCATCAGTGTTCTGTAAGAATGGGCCTTACTATGTTCTGTGCTTGCCAGCAGTAAGCATGAAACAGAGTACGGCCTTTATCTGAGGAAAGAAAAAACTCCAACACTGGTACCAGTCAGAGATACCAGTACAGTTAGTGTATGGTTATCAAATTTAACTTGATAGAATGTGAATTAAATGACATTTCTTTTGCTTTCCATTTTGATATGTTTATAACTTGTTTTGAATAAGTTTCACTTGTGCAGAATACCTTTGAGTGTTTATAAAGAATTTGCTTCCTTATAACTTAATAATTTTAGGGAAGTTATTTCTCACACCAATAATTAAACTTTATTGAATGTTTGATGCTTTCCAGATATGGTGAGGATTTGTAAACAAATTGTTAAAACACATTTAAGTACCAGGAAGGATATTTAAGATCTTGCCATGCACTTATCTGTCATTTTGTCAGAAAAAGCAAAATGTAGGGGTCAAATTGTACACCCTACTGGTATATACAGTACAGTACATGTATACATGTACCTGTATATATAAAGGTTGAATAGACTGACTCCAAAATTCTATTTGTTATAGCCAAATAGAGGGATGTTTCTAGCCATCTCAGATATTTTGTTTTAAATCAGTCATAGTATTGACACAAGGCAGTAAAATAGATGACTTTTCCCTATGCATATTTAAAGAAGTTTTAACTTAAAAGTATTTGGCCAAGGTTTATCTTGCATGTGCGGCACCAAACAGGTAGCATATGGCTTTTTTGGAAATGCGTTGAAATATAATCATTACAGATCTGAAATAATGTGAGTTGTATTTTATTTATATGTTATTCTTATTATTATTATGTTTCAGGACTGATTTCTACAGGATCATGAAGAGCAAGGAAGATAAGCTAGGCTTCCCAGAAGGCATTGCTGTACAGCACGTTCTCAGGGTAAAAGATTAGAAACTATTCCATCTTCATTTACAAATGGGAACAATGTCATGATACAGAATTCATTTTATTTTAATTCCATGAATGTATTTATTTGCTTATTTCTTTATTTATTCCTCAAGGCAGTATTTTCCTTGTTTGATTAATTCTTATAAAACAATTAAACATGTAGTGTTTTATGTCAAATATCAAGAACATTCTCATATTATTCAAAATTAACACAAATTTTTTCATTCACAGGCCTATCAGAAATATGCAGATAAAGCAAAAAAAGATGAAGAGAAAAGACAAAAATTGATTGAAGCCAAACAAAGATTGAAGGAACAAAAAATGGGGGCTATTACAGAAGAAGCAGGTACTGTAGTTAAAAATGGAAAAAAATAGAACATAGACCTTTTGAGAAACTTCAAAATTTTTCCAATACAACCAACGTTGTCAGTTTTTGAAAATCAGGTTTAAGGAAGCCATATATGGATGATACCACCACAAAGTTAAACAAAAATCTTATTTTTCAGTTAATCGTTGTTTTGTCAGAGATTAAAATGAGGTTGATACTACCATAGTTCTATTTTACAAATAGTTCTATTTTTCTGTTGGTTGTTTTGTTTTTGCAGAGAAAAATGAAAAGTGGTACCCCCCCCACACACAAAAACTGATGGACAGAAATCTTATTTTCCATAGTCTGTTGTGTTTTCAGATGAATAATAAAGAATACAATAAATAATGTTGTTTCATTGAATTGCCACTTTTTCAGGGAAAGAGATCGGGATGATACCAACACAAGTAAGAGAAAAAAAAGTTATTATTTATAAATTAAATATATGTTTATCATAATTTTTTCAGAAGAACAAAATGGGGATGAGGTCTCCAGTCCAAAGCCCCAGGACACTCCAAATGAGCCCTGTTTACCACAGGTAGCAGAAGAGGTGACAGTTGACACAGGACAGGGTGACCACGGCCAGGAGGAGATGGCAGAGGCAGCAGGAGATGTGAACATGGAGGAACAAGACGAGGATCTAGAACAGACAAGGTGGGTATAAAACATTGGTACTTAGATTGATCCAACTCGCTGAATGCAGTCAGATGAATAGAGTAACACCCCTGATCCTCATGTTCAGTAGAATAAGGAAAAGCTGGTGATCATACAAGTTCGTTGGAAACAAGAAGATGCGTGTTAATCTGATTGCATTCAGTGAGAAACCCTGCAGAGTTGGATTGATCCATGTAGAAAGATAGTGTCATTGGGAATGAGCCCAAAGAATGGTTCTTTATTGGAATCTAAAATAAATTGGTTTGTAAAAGTTAAACATTAAAAAAATTCCTGTCTTAGAAATATGATGAGAAACAATATTTACGATCCGTTATATATTTCCTCATATATGATTAGATGAGCATCAATATATAACAATCTGTTTCTTAACTTCCTTCAAATAGAATAATATTTCTGTTTTATATGATATCAGAATGCAGAAGATCTTCCAGTCCAACCCAGAGAGTTATAACGGTGCTATCAGAGATAGGTACAGTTGGACACAGTCAATAACAGACTTAGATGTGAGAGTGAAGGTAATTTTACTGAAATAATATGTTTTTGTTTTTACTTCAATGTCAGGGTTACCAACATTACAGCCCTCAGAAGTGTAGATCTTTTTAAAAATCACCCTGAGGTTCAAAGTCTACTGGATACTACCCTACACCACTACCATGCTTCTATCATTACTGGGAATCTCTGAAACTCATTGAAAATAATGGGGATTGATCATAGATAATGTCTAGAATATACATAAAATGGCCACAGTTGGCAGCTCGACTACTAATCACATATGAAAAGAATGGTTCAAATCATGTGTCGTATGTGATTTAATTACATACCTATAGTCAGACTTGCCAACTTAGATTGGGTGACATTGATGAATTAGATTGAGGAGACGTAAATGAATATACTTTAATTCCATATGTTGAATTAAAAAACAATATGTTCAGTTCTTAAGAGTTTTTCACCACCAACATTTCTTATTTTCCAGGTGCCAAATTTCATACTAAAGGGTAGAGATGTAAAAGTTGACATCCAGAAAAAACATCTCCATGTGGCGTTCAGAGACCCAGATGGCATGATGGTAGATGTCATCAATGAAGATCTAACTTGGGACATAAATAAGCAGGAATCAATATGGACACTTGTGCCAGGGCAGCATGTGCATGTAAGGGCTGATTCCCAATGAAACTATAGTTCTATGTAGATCAATCCAACTCTGCGGGGACTCTCACTGAACGCAGTCGGATAAACATCCCTCCTCTTGTTTTCAACATACTGGTATAGTCACCAGCTTTTCTGTATTCTACTCAATCACAGGAGGAGGTGTGTTAATTTGATTGGATTCAGTGAGAGTCCCTGTAGAGTTGGATCAATTTGTGTTTTTAAGATATAATAAAAGTTTGTGTAAAGTAGCCATTCTTTTTAAAAATTCAGAATTATCAATCATCAATTTTTCCTGGGTTCACTCAATATTATCAAAGAAGAACTGCCTGTTTACCTATTTTAGATAAATGAATGAAGAATGCTTGAAAATTTGAGATAGATAGCATTAAATTTACTTATGATTCCATAATTTCCTGTAGATAAACTTAGAAAAAGTTCAAGAAAGATGGTGGGAAGCAGTTTTAGTCGGGGAACCCAAAATTAGCACGCGGAAGATTGACCCTTCTCGTCCAATCACTGACCTAGATGAAGAAGCACAATCCAAAGTTGGAGAGATGATGTACAATGAACAAAGAAAGAGGATGGGACTGCCCACCAGTGAGGAACAGGTGAGAGAGGGAAAGAAAGTGGTGCTGGTCCATGTTTAAAATTTAGTCTGCAAGAATGACTATTACATTTGGCCTGTTTTTTTTTCTAATTTTTTCAAAAAGGGGTCATTGTTCATCATTGTACATTTTATCAAAATTACTAAACTTACTAATTAATAATGTCTAAATAATAATTTCTTCAAAACAAAATCTGAACTTAGAGTTGTGCATATGTTACTTCTCTGTCTTCCAAGGCACCATCTTCAATGAACGAGGACCAAAGACACTTGGGTAAAGGCTATGACAAAACCTGTGCGCTCATTCTCTGAAGAAGCTGGCTTGTGAAACATTGAAAGTTTTTTTTTTTACTGGTTCCTAACGTGTTTGTAGTTTTAGTTTGGGAACCCAAAATTTGTTTATCATCTTGTAACTAAAAATATAACCTAGTATTATGTGCATCAGCAAGAGAATGATAAAACACTAAATGAGGAAAGGAAAGGAAAGTCAAATCTTGTGTGACACAATCTTTTTTGTCTCCTTTCAGAAAGTCAATGATATGCTGAAGAAAGCATGGGATGCTGAGGGTTCCCCATTCAAAGGACAGCCTTTTGATCCATCTAAGATAAATGTTTCAGGAAACACTATGACATTCAACAACTAGTATTATGAACAGAAATGTGTGCCATATATTGTACATGTGTTATAAGTTGGTTTGTACTGTTGTAGTCTAGGTTCTCTCTAAGAGATAATGAACTGCAAAGTGCATTAAAATTTTTAAATGGGCTTCATTTTAGGTGCCCTGAATCATTTTTGTTTTAGAATGAGAAATGTCATTCATAAAACTGAGTTCAGTCTGTTAAATTTATGCCAAATGCTTATCAGGAAATTAAGTGTAAAATGTTTTACTGCTTTTGGACAAATTAAATATCAGTTTCATTGAAAATGTTGATATGGTTGAAATTATCTACATATTGGATATGAATAGATTTATCCTTGAGTAAACCCTGAAATAGTAATTGTTATGGATAAATTCTGTTCTGGCAGCGGCAGTTCTAGGGGCAGACTAAGCCCACATGAATTGTTATTTGTATTTGAATGTACTTTTGTCTTACACACAAGCTGTATGATAAATCTTTGAATTATTAAAACTGTTATGAATTTTCAGAATGATTTTGTTATAACAAACTTTTTTATTTTAATTAATTAATTCTTTTTACAAAATAATTCATAAATTTTGGTGACTGTTATTTTCCTAAGCAGAAAACCATAAATGTTGAGTGAACCATGTCTTCATTTTAACCACTAGAAATATATTTACTGTGGTTCCTGAAACTGTGTGTGTGTGTGTGTGTGTGTGTGTGTGTGTGTGAAAACTTATTAATAAAATAGCTTATTTTTTCATATCCAATTAAAATGGATTTGAGCAGAGTGAATTTTCAAATGTAAATCAAATGATTAAATATTTAGTTCTAGTTGGTGTTTGAAGATGAAAACTTATTTGATTCCATCTAAAAGGACTAATTCTAGTGAAATGAAATACTAAGTAAATATTGCCATGCTTGTAACTTGATGAAATAAGTAAATATATGACATCATTTGCTGTATAACTACCTAACAATGCATTACAGGTGTTAAATTCATATTGACTTCTGCCTTTGATTATTGTTACAATGTCATATCTGATAATCTGTTAAACAAACAAAACGAAAAGGGAATTTTGAAAAGTTGCAGAAATTATTATTAGAAGGAATACAGAAAGGTTTTAATTTAGTGTTTTTCACCTTGTAGTGTGAAAGTATGATCAAAAGTACACCTTATATAATATCTTATTATCATTCATTATTAAGCAAATCATATTGTGTAGGGAATTTAATGCATATCAGCTCAGAATGGTTTATCCGTCTGCATCAGTTTTACATTTCTAACATCCAGCAAAAACCCAGCACTATATTTTACATCAAGTCAAAAGTGTATGAATTAAAAATCAGTATTTTATTTTGAAATAATGATGATTTGATTATATCATGAGCATTGCAGTTTGACCATATTAGTCCTTAGGATGCATGCCTAAAAATTGCAACGTATCTCTCTCTATATCTAAAAATAACAGACACAAAAAGTGCCTAGGCCACATGCCAAGATTGCCACTATCTGTCTCTCTCTGTGCAAAAGGCCATTTAGCTGATAAAAGCACTTGTCCCTTGACACTAGACATGCAAGTTGATTAATTTCCTTGATAAGGCCAGTTTTCATGCTGACCGTTATTAAGGTAGGTGAAACCTTGATGGTTATCCTGGGGCCAGCTCCACACATTCAGAATTGAAGTTGTGAGTAGGGCTTAACTTTGGAATCAAAAGTTCTAGCCTACTTTTAGTCGTTCACTTATTTCGAAAAATATTGGAATTGTTTAACTTGGAGTAAAAAGTGATGGATGTTTTAGATCCATTAAAATTGTTGCTTTAACTTTAACTGAACTTTATTCTAGGGTAAAATTGACCAGAACTTTTTGTCTGAAAGTTGAGGTCAACGTTTGACTTAAGAGCTTGTGTGAAACAGAGGCCTCTATGCTGTTGAGTGTGTAAGTTAGAGACAGGTATGTTTTGATGATACATGTAAGATATGTATAAACAGTTGGAGCTTTTTACAAAAGATAATTGTGCTGTGGAGTAAGTTTTTCAAACTTCAGTGGGTAGTTTACCATTTTTGCAGAAGGAGAATCGAGACGGTGTCTTTTATCAAATTGTCTCGTTGTCAGGAAATATTAGTTCAGCTGTTTGTTTGCTATGCTGGAATTTAGTTTGGCATACGTATGAATGCCTATGCAACTCTCATGTCAGTACAAAGTACACATTTCAGAAATTTATGTCTGTCTGAAACTATGATTTACTGATATCAGAAACAAAAAGTGAATTGTAATGTTGAAAAATTTTTTTTTTCATTTTATTGGTATTATAGGAAATTCATGTCTCTTTCTTGGATCTTTTCCCACTATATGTACAAAAATCATTTTGTTTCAACTCATTTGTTTTGGGTGAAAGAGCAAAGACGCAGTTGTAAGTTAGTCTGCATTTTTTTCTGCTTAGGGCACTACATGCGGCAAGTGAGTCTTATTCTGTACTACCTGGGGCAGTGACAATTAAGTTAAGTCTGTTATTATGTAGTACTAACTTGGAGCACTTACAAATGAGTCTGTTATTCTGTACTACTTAGAGCAATCATAAATGTGTCTGCAATTCTGAAGTGTACATAGATTTTATATTTATTTTCATTAACACTTGTTAAGTTGGTGGGGAAATACGATCAAGTGTTCTATAGCCTAAGGATGTCTAAACACTGTGCATCATTTGATGGTGTGCTTTCTTTACAGAAAAGAAAATATAAACATAAAAGGTAGATTTGAGCTTATTTAAATAAGCAAATTTATTTAATTCTTTTGGCACTATTTCACATTGACATTAAACAATATTCAAGTAATACAGCTTGAACCTGGAGGCAATGCAAAGTCCTAAATGCCATTAGAAGTTAATCTACTTTGATCTTGGTCTCACAGCCAGTCAAAGAGGTGCAGTTACTTACTATACTGATTCTATACAGTAGATATACCAAGTATTTATTTTCATTCCCTATGGTATAGGGGGGACTTGGACAATGGCCCTGTACTGGAGTTACCCTGAGACTTCTTACAGTCTTTAATTGGATTTGGTATTCACCTGCAAAGACTGCCTATGGATTACAACCTATAGGTGACTGAAAATCTTTGTTAAAATTGGTTGGGGATTTTAAGGTGTTTGACAAGTTTGAGTTAAAACAGCTGAAGAAAGTCACGAACATGTTTTATGAATGATGAAGAGATCTTTGTGGTAAGATATCATTTTTGCAAAGGGCATGACAACATGATTTACTCAAGTTATTTTTACATGAGTTTTGTACTGTGGTCATGCAAATATCTTCAACAACAATATATTTATCAATTCAACCTGGATAAAGCAAAGTAACTTTCCAAACATTCTGGTAATTTACTTTGTATGATGAGTAAATCCTAAAGAACTCACTGAGCTAAATTTGCTGTTTTGGGGACCTTTTTAATGAGAGTTTTGTTCAAGAAGGTGCTGTATTAGGATTTTGCTTTTATTGTGAATTCTAATTTTTCATACCACTACTTGACCATTAACTCATTCCAAGTCAATAACTTGAAGTGTTCCAATTTTATCTCTAATCATAGCCATTATACAGCCATTATGGGTATCCCTTTCATAAAGATTAAGACATTTTAGCAGGCACTAGACTGGAAGAAGTGAAAATAAGCCTTGCATTTCAAAGTAAAAGCCATTTAGTGCAAGTCAGAAATAGGTACCCAGTGACAAAAGGCAACATCACTATTAATGAATTCAAATGGTTCATCCAAGTGTCTTTTATCAGTATAGAATGTGATGCCTTTTTATATCAGTTGTGTTTTTTGTTTGCTTTGGAAGTTGGTTTTACAGATTTGTTGATTTGAACTGAGTTCAAGTGGCCTGGATATTTGGGGAGAAGTCTAGCGGAAATTTATGCTCAACATCAACGAAATTAGGCTGACGTCCTACTTTGTTCCTACACTTCCTACAGTATGGCTGTAAGTATGCTTTTCTTTCATCTTGGTGTATTTGATTTTCATCCAGCCACAAAGTTTGAAAGCCAAATAGGTGCTTAAGTTTTGGATATCAAAAACAAAGATTTAAATCAAATGTTCTGACTTTTACACACACTGTGCCTAACCAGTACAAATACCAGTTAAAGAGCCATCTATCAAGCTATAAAAGAGAAAAAGAGTATCATGGGCCCATCCCAGATGATGGATATTCTTCATTTGTGTCACCAGCACCACAATGGCACATGCAAGACTGAGTAATGCAGTGTAGTAAAATAGGTTGGCAGACAAAGAGCACTTTCTACTTAAAAATAAAGGCCTTGGAGCTAAAGGGTACTTTTGATCATTTTCAGGCTCAGAACGTGATGTCAGCTCAGGAAATAGCAGGTAATTATCCAACTGATGTATTAAATGTTTCTAGGTGATAGATAAATATCAAATAGATAGATGAGGAATTTAATTTGGGAGGCAACACTTAATTAAAATAAGACATTTTCAATGGAACTTTTGGGATTACATAGATATTGACTCAGACACCCAAACTTGGTGTAAAGTATTGATGGCAATGTTTTAATTTATTATTTCATAAGGTTAAGATTTTTCAATGAGAAGAAAATTATGTTACATGGCTTTTGATATTGGTATCTCCTAGAGAGAGCTTTAATATCAAGGACAACTGATTGGAGATATTTGCTTAACTCATATAAAGTTCCTCCATTTCTAAATGTATGCAATGGTGCACAATTATATGATCAATTATATTTATGGTCCTCATAGGCAAACACTTGTGGTTACATATATCAACTGCAACGTCTGATTTATCTTGATAGACCATGCTTCAATCTTAGGATAAGCACACCGGTTACTCATTCTTATGTGACTAAATTTCAGTAAGATGACACATATTTTTAAACCAATTAATATCCTTAAATTTCTAGACATTGACAAAAGAGGGGTACAGGCTGTGATTAAAAGTTATGTGGGACAAAATTTTACACAAGATTGTCTTTCATAAATATTTTCATTGCCCAACAAATTCAATTAATTTTACATTTGTTTACTTAATTTGTTTTTGTTTGTTTTGTTTTTTTATCCATTTATATTTATTTATTTATTTATTTATCTGCCATTTCTATTGGAAGAGGGCCCTTATATATTTACAAACACTTAATACTAAATGTGAACATATAATACTATATCATATCACATTTCTTAAGTTGTATATTCTCCCCAAGGAGATGAATCAGGTAAGCATGTGCTCCTCAGGGAGATAAAACAGCAGAATGTATGCTCCCAATGGGGTTGAGACCAAAAGACGGGGTTGTGAAACAGAAAGATAGTTGAATATAGTGTCCATGGAGGTGAGACCAAAATTGCTCCCCAGAGAGGTGAAACTGAAAACATAATGATCCCCAGGAAGCTCAGGCAAAAAAATTATATGCAACCAATACTACATGCTCCCTCTGTTGATGATGCTGAAAAATAAATATGCTCCCCAAAGAGGTGAGACATATAAATGCATGCTCCCCAGGAAATTTAGAAGTGATGTACTCGTATGCATCCAATCTGGTCAATTTTGCTATATTGAGGTTATCAGGCTTGAAACCTATTATCTGTTCCTTTTTAAATACATGAATGAATTAAATTATTTTCAGAGTCAAAGCTGGTCTTCACAGTGCTGGATAAAAATTCTGATGGCAAAGTGTCAGTCTGTGACATCAGGACAACCATGCACAAGTTAGGGCATGATGTCAGCAATGAGGATTGTCAAGAGTTTATTAAAAAAGTGTCATGTAGGTGCAGCTTAGAATCTTATATATAAATGAGTGAAAAGAAACAAATCTCAAGGATCAAATCTGAAGTTGTGAAACTGCTTTTTAATTTTTTATTATTGATATTATAAATTATCATTATTATTTGTTTTGTTCAGTAAGATGTGAAAGTTGCTGAGAAATCAAGGAAATTTCATTTATGAAATTTTATTCAAAATCCCTATAGTATTATTTGTTACTAAATTAGATGACATGGAAGAGTTGCCAAATTTGATATCATACAAATACATTTTTATGGAATGAAAATCATAAAACTTATCCACAGGTAATGGAAATGCCAGTTTTAATGAAAAGGACTTTCTTGCCTGGATGGAGACATACAGAGAGAAAGATTCAGAGACTGTTCTCTTAGATTCTTTCAAAGCATTTGACAAAGATAAAAATGGACTTATATCTCGGGTACAGTATATCTAGTTTTGCTCTATTTTACAAGCATAAAAAAGATCATTAGCCCCAGAAAATAGATTTATTTATTAAACAGTGACAGAATGAATGAATAATCAAATTCATTAAATAATGAAGAATTAAATGAATAGATAAATAAGAGTCCAATATGTATCATATTGCATCAGTATGTTTCATTAAATATTCGATTTTTGTTTCCAGTTGAAATTATAGCTATGTCATTTTTCATTGTGTGATAGGAGACTGTTTTAATTTAAAAAAAAACAAAAACAAATGAACAAACAAAAAATGTATAATCATTTTCCATATTTAACATATCCAGCAAGAGCTTCAGGAAGGCTTGGAGCTGATGGGTGTACATTTAACAGAAGACATGCTGGATGGTATGTTCTCAGTAGCAGACAGAAACCGTGATGGAGGAATTAGTTTTGAAGGTAAGGAGCACAAGCAGACGCAGACACACACACACACACACACACACACACAGAAATACAAATGCATCAGTTTTGAGGGGTATTAACTCCCGTGTTGATTTAAAATTCTAATACCAGGGGACTGTTTTACAAAAAAAAAGGTTTTAACTTTAAGACTGGTGTAACTTAAGCCTGTTTAGGATCAAAGTAAATCAGTAGAAGTCCACTTTAGTGAAGACATTACGTCTTTTCCATGAAGAGTTAGATATGGAAAACATTTTAGACTGATTGTAATTTTATTCGCAGGCTTCTACATATTCACCCTGGATCAACCTTGACTTACCTGTTTTGTCTCAAAGTTAATACCCATTTTCAAATTGAGTTCTTTTGTGAAAGATGCACCTTTGGGCTGGTTAAGTTAAGCCTGACGAGGATCGCTCTAACCTGAATTAAAATCTAGACATCATTAAAATATTCCTCAATAGTGCCAAAAATTAAAATAATCATCATGATTGGTGTGATATTGACAATTATGTGGTTGAGAAAAAAATTTACCAAATCTAATTTAGTAACAGTAATATGTCCAGAATTGTATGTAAAAAAAAATTACAGCTTAAGTTCCCATGTGTACATAGCAGTAATATTTATTTTATTTTGTTTATCTTTTTGTTTCCTGAAGATGATTCTTTCATTTTTCTTTCCAGAATTTGTTCGTGTCATGAAACCATCCTAGCCAACCACCTTTTGTTTACCATTGAGTTCATCACTGCGACAGTTATTTTAGGAATAGACAATCTTTTATGTTGGATTGCAATTCACCTGACCCAAACATGATGGGGATGTCCTTAGCACATCAGTGAAACCAAACATTTTAACTGCAGATACAGTCCAATTATTTTGGTCTGCATGGTTAAATTGAGTTTTTGCAGCTGAAAATTGGTGAATGTTGAGAATCTTGGCTGCTGAGTTGGTCTGATACTAAGTATACGGTACTTTTTTTGATATCAACTCCAAAGGCAAAACACAAACTTGCAACCAAGTGAAGGTGCTTCAGCCCTATTAATGTGTTCAAAGTGAAAATTTAGCTTTTGATGTTCATATAAGCTAATTACTGAATTATTCATCTCCAAGCATGTTGCTGCCAGTAAAGCATGCTTATTATCATTTGCATCCACTCATTAATTATTCACATATTCATCCAAGTTACAAAATCTAATCAAAAATCCATTAATGTCAACATTTCAATTTTGTATTTAAGTAAATGTCAAATGAAAAATTCTTTTGTTTAATTGACTTTTTGCTTATTCAATTTTATAATGCTTGGAAAATATTTTAAGATAATTTTTTTTTTTTTTAATTCAGAAGGGCTATCCTTTTTGTAAAAAAATCTGGATCTAATTTATCTTTTCTTTTTTATTTACTTTTTTATCTACTTTTTTTTTTTTTTTTTTTTTTTTTGCTTGAAAAGGTGTCACTTGTCCTAGAAGAAAAAGAAAAGAGGAAAAGAGAAAATCCAATTTACTCAGGAGCTTTCAACTGCTTGTGCATGACTAATATGTTTTTTTTTCATTAGATTTAAAAATTTAATATCTACTTCCATACCATTCTTTTTGTTAAAATTTGTTAAGAAATGTGAAACACTGATAATATTCTTATTAAGAGCTACCAGAAGTAGTAAGGCATTACCTCCAATATTCTGTTTTTGCAGCTGTTAGCCACTTTTATAATTTTTGATTAAAAAAGAAGAATCATGTTTTAAAAATGTATTGAGCTAATGAAACTGTTCCCTAATAAAAACACTTTCTTTTTGCTGAAGTTTGATATTGATTCTTTGCCCCCCGGTTCTAATGACATAAGAGGGAGAAAATGAGGAATTTATGTACATTCAAACGACAGGAAGAAGTTGCGCTACTCTTCTAATGTGGAGGCAAGAAAGGACGGGCGTGCATGTCTCTAGTGTTTACATTAATGGCTACCAAAACGGAGTCAGATAGCTCTCTTCGATCGAAGAAAGAACTGACAGAAAAGTTCCTACAGCTTCGAAAACAAGCTCTGGAAGATGGAGTATACGATAGCTACCTCCGTGAGGTGTTTTTAAAACATGCCAACAAAGGTTCTACGAAGAGATTCACTTTGTTTGGATCCAGGAAGTTATTCATCGCTAGCGCTGTTTTCGTTGTACTGGGGATCATATATTACAACTGCCCCTTTACTTATCAAGATGTCTTAGACGAATTTTATACAAGCAGGTGTTTGGTAGAAAACAGTGCAATACTAGGGGAGATTGCCAGACCTCTTGCAGATTGCGGTATATGCCGTGGCTTGAGTGAAGTCCCCATCATAAACAACCTAAGTGAGGAAGAATTTGTTGAAAAATACGCTTACACGGGCAGACCAGCGTTAGTGAGAGGAGAGACGGGGAACTGGACGGCATTTGAGGTGTTTTCTTTTGACTACTTCAAGGAGTTATACACAGAAACCCCAGATGCATTTGAGATAACAGAAAATGAATGTCAGTTCTTTTCGTACCAGTCAAGGTTTTCTTCACTGGAGGAAATGTTTAATATGTCCAAAGAGAGGGCAAATTATGAGGAAGGACAGGAACACTGGTATATTGGCTGGTAAGGGGGTCACTTCTGAATTAAACGAAGACTGGGTTTTAATAAAAATTTGTTATACCAATGCTGGTGCATAAATTTATATGTGGAACACACAAGCGCGCACACACACACTCCATTGCAAATAAATACAAGTACTACAGTACTTTTTAAATGCTGTTACTTTCTTCATTCTCTGTAGGAGTAATTGTGTTGCTGATGTTGCCAAAAAGCTGAGGAAGCATTATCAGAAGCCACACTTTTTACCCAAGGACTCAGAAACCAGCTCTCTGGACTGGATATTTATGGGCTGGTCAGGAGATGGGGCAGCTATGCACGTAAGTTTTAAATCTAAAGCTATAATTTATTGTTACATAGAAAGGGCCCACTGGGCATGGTTGATAAACATCTCCTTTCTTATAGAGAAACTTAGGGAAGCTTCTTTTATCTTGCGTTTTTTTTTTAAGTCATACAGCAGAAGAGTGCAAAAATGTTTTTGTTTTCTTCACTTTGTGTTGTACACATAATTTATTATCTTGTTATTCATTGTAAAAATAAAAAGTCATCCGGAGTAAATAAATTGCATAAATCAGTCAGCTGGGGAGGAGGAGCTATGCAGGTAAGTTTAACCTTAAGCTTGAGGGTACCACTGATTATTGGAAAGAGCACTATGGGCACGGTCCTTT